CATGGAATGATCCTCGACTTTCAAAGTCTGAAATTGAAAAGTGCATCCAAGAGAATGGCAGAGTTTATTTTGCGAACCACGAAACTGGGACAACTTCATGGAATGATCCTCGACTTTCAAAGTAGGAATAAAGGAATTAGATGAGCATAAGACGAAGATTGATGGATGTTTCGATGCATGATGTTATCTTTCAAGACAGCATCTCCATTCCTATCTTTACTCTGACCGTCTATATCTGACCCTATTATATCACCGGCGAGTACACCAGTCACAGATTCAAGCTCTTTAAGACGTTTATTATCAATTCTCAGTGCAGTTATTCATTAGACTTTCAGACGGATCCTAATGATCTCTAAATGTCTTCAATTATCTATATAAAACGAATGGGTATGACGAATTAGACCCTTGAGCGGTACTTGGCTACCCTGACCATCTGTGTTATGGCCCGAACGTCGCTATGGCGACCTGGCTTGTCGTATGTGGGTTATTTTCAGCTGCTGGCGCTCTCTTCTTCTCCTTTCTTCTTTAGAGTGTTCTCTTTGTACTGCACTAGCTCTAAATTCTAATTTAAAACATGATTACAGCTAGCCTGTCATAATAGAGCTACTAAAACATTCTGGTATTCTGATAACTAAAAGCATGATCAAGCAGTGCTTCGAGAGAACAATTTCAAGCAATAAGAACGATTGTACCTATCTGTCGGACTTGGACTAACGTCTCTCGTCGTCTCTGACTGGTCGAATTGTGAAGTCTGAGAAGGACATGGCTAGCACGTGACTTCTAGCGCCCTCTTAGATTTAGAATTCAATTGACCTCTGTTCCTCCATCTCCTGCACTTTTGTTTTGCTGGTATGAAAACCAAACAATTTATGATACTCCATTTCCGGCTTCTTCGGTTTCAACTATGGAGACGGCTTGTCGGACCGAAAACATCACGTGGAGTTGCACCAAGAGCGGACTTCACTTCCCATTTTCACTAAAGTCAGATATCTGCTTAGTAGATTAAAGTGATACACTCGTACACAATGACAATTAGTTCAGGATATTCAGTAAATTGTGAGGCTAAACCACTAGTCACATGCGATTGGGCCAGAGGGAATCCAAATTGGCGCTTGGTAAGTTTGACAGAGGAGCGAGAATGGATACCGTCACGACATCTTGATAGGTCTAAAGAGGTTGCTGCAGCAAGCATTAGTAAGATTAATATATCGAAAATATATAAACTATAACCATTTCGCGAGGGGCCAGAAATGGATTCCCTGAGAATGATCCAGCTGACTCATCAGCGTGCTCAGGACTCAGGGCTCAGCTCAGGTTAGAGCAGCGACTACTCAGGTCCAAAGACCGAAATCTGCTTTGTTGGCTCAATTGTCGTCTGAGATTATAGTGGCAAGAATGTGCAGTGGAATAATAACTTTAACTCCCCGCATGGTCCTACCTTAATTAACATGGCGATGGGATTGAATGAGTTGCCGTTCATAGGGAATCACATGTGGAATCTCATTATATATCTCATTTGAGAAATGAAACACCACGAAGGGGAGAATGTAAGGGGTAGAACACGGATCTTGCTTGAAACTTCCAAATATCATTTTTGATCAGTCGGTCAACACGACTCAACAGAACCATAAAGAAACTCAACACGTTAGCTAGAAACTTCCTGCTCCACAGACAGAACCAAGACGTAAGTAGGTGACAATGAATTGCAAACCCAATCAATCACCAAACCTGAATTCCTGTCCTCTATCCAAATCGGTCATAACTCACTCCTATCCATCCCCACACATCCACGCACCATTGCCTCCCTATTCCCCTTACCCCTCCACTATACCACTCAAACTCCTCCTCCCAGACTCCTCACCCTTCCCAACAACCTCAGCCCTAACCCCCCATGGTGCCTCTCTATCTCCATCTCCCCCATCCCCGCGTGCAGGAGAAAGCAAGCCCTCCCCACCAATCCCAGGGCCAACACCAACACCCTGCATCCCTATGAACCTCGCCTTCTCCCCATCCCTCTCCCCATCACCCCTCAACTTCCGTCTCGGACTCCTCCTCAATTTCATCGTACGCATCCCTCGTCTTCGCTTGCGGGGTATTCACTGTAGTACAACACAACACTAGTCAGTCCGCACTCTCACACACAAGATTCGTTTCTCTTAACCCCACAAATTCCATATAAATCAATCAAACACTACACAAAATTCGTACAAAATTCGACTGACTCATAGGGGAAGTATGATGGATGTGATGAGATGAAATGAAAAGGGAACGTACTCATGCTGTCCCTCTAAATCCCCCATCATCAATTTCTCCCGATTAACCCTAGCGCGATACCTGAAATACATAAAGATGATCGTAATAGCTGTTAGAACAGCCAGGCAGATGACCAGGGTGAGGATGAGGGACTGTGCGCGTTTTACGGCGGAGGGGGGAAGGGTGTCTATAGTTGGTAGGGGTGCGGTTAACGTGGAGGTGGCGACAGGAATCGGCATCGGGATTGTTAAACCTGCGCTGGTGATTGAAAGGTCAGTCAGCCTTAGGTGCGATATATAAGGAGATGCTTGGAAAAAAGGGAAGGAAGGGGTTGGTTGGAGAGTATGGAGCTAGAAGGGTGGGAGGGAGACCGACGTGGTGCTTTCTGATGTAGGGATTTCGCGGATATAGAGGCGCGGGAATATTGAGGTGATGAGTGGTGGGAACATAGTGAGGGTTATGGATGTGGTTGCTGATGATAGGGAGAAGAGGACGAAAATATCTATGATGGAGATGGAGCAAGAGAACAGGAAAGAAAGAGAGGCAAAGGAATGAGAAGCATAATATGCAGATAATGAAATCCTCCCTTGCCAGCCCAGCCGCCAAATGTTAAGATGAGCGGGTGAGACACGACGCACCAAGAATGAAACGAGACGCGTTGATTAGGACGCCACACTTTCTTTTTCTCTTGGCTTGGTTAATTACTCGAGGAACGTATGAAAAGAGCTGAGTATTACTGAAGCATATTGTGCTTGACCTCAGGCTATGGTATCAATCGACCGTTCCGTATTTTGTCCCCCAATTACAATACAGTATTGTACAATATGTGACAAGAGCAGAGATAATCCCTAGATCATATCATATACACCGTTTGCCGATAGACCATACACCAATTTTGCCCTCCAGATGGACAGAGATATTAATGCAAACACTTATAAATCATCCTCTGAAATCGGCTTCTTCTCCTTGTAAACCCTGCCACCCTTCGTCCTCTTTCCGGCCTTTACAAACTTAGCCTGACTTATATCCTGCTCAATGCCCTCGAAGCCCTCTTTGCCCATAATAACATTAAACTTATTGGTCTTAACCTTCTTCCCACCCTTGCCTTGCCTCCCATCTCGCACCCCCTTCAACTTTCCCCCTCTGCCGGTTTCCTCGGCCGGCCTACCCATTCGAGGTTGTCTGAGCACTCTCGTCTTTGCGCCCAGTGCCCAAAGATCTCCCCACTTAGACTTTCGCGCGTCACGGTAGGCGGCCCTGCTGAAACTCTTGGGGACAGTCCAGCGTTCGAGCTTGCCAGATGGTGTGCAAAGATCAAGGGTGACGTGACCACGGCGTTTGAGGGGCGAGAGGACGGTGCGGGGAAGAGATTGAGGGTGAAATCTGATCTCACCTGGTTCTCCTGAAAGTTCCGAGTCGGGGAGATCGTATTCTTCGTAGCCTTCAAATGACTGATCTGTAGCTTCGTCGCCTTGCAGAATGGGGATTCTGCCTTTCCTACCGTCGATGCCCCGCCGAACTGCTATATAGCTGTACTTGACATCCTCGTGGTTGCGAATTTTGGCCCCTAGGACGCGTTGTAGGTATGCAGGGCGAATGAAGCGTTGGCCAAAACGGCAAAAATCCTTCCTTCCGCTACTAAGGCCAGGCGTGAGATACATGGGACATTTCGTGTGATTCGTACATGGTGCAATGATCATGCCTTCCTCCTTGTCCACGAATCGCGCGTGCTCTGAAGCGGGTGATTCGATTTCGTTTTCAGTTATTGCATCACCTGGCGACGCAATGTGATGGTCGAGCAACAGCGAACGAGCACCAGCAATTGCTTCAAATCCTCGAGGAATGCCCTTTTCAATGAGAATGAGAACACCGCCTTTGGGATCAAGAAGAGACCACAAGTTCTGAACCATATTCTTGCGCCTGTAGTCTTCTTTCAATTGAAAAAGGGTATGCGGGGCGATTATAACGTCGTATAACTTTCGGCCTTGGGGAGGCACTGCATCATTACCTGCCTTGGAACTAGCCTTGGAAATAGAGGCATGAATATAATCTGGTAGACGTGGTAGGAAAGTGGTATTCTCGAGAAATCGAGAGACTCGCTCTCTTACAGTGCTGGAACCCGTAAGAACAGTGGTCTTTCCCTCAGGGGCAAGATCCCCCTGAGCTAAGCCTTCCTCCCTGAGAACATCCCACTCTGCTTGTACAATCTCTTTCCACGCAACTATACCAGCACCTGCACCGCCTGCATCTAAAACTCTGGGACCTTGCCCACCGCCTCGATAGATCAGATTTCGAAGCCATTGGGCACCGAGTCGCTTTCGTACTTCCACTAGCGTGCTCATCACCGAAGCATATGTTCCTGGCATGACGGCAGCAAGATATGCATCTGCCTCCACTTCGGACATCCTATGTTGAAACGCATCCAGCCCTATCGGCTTCTGTTGTAGATGGGCCTTGGATGCAGGGGTTGACGACGAATACGGCAGACCGAGACCACCAAAAGCCTTCTCCGCCGTTTCTGCAAGATGTTTCGCGTTTACGCGCTCCAAGAGCTCGGAGACGGGTTCGACAAGGTTTGCTTGTGGTAAGGTGAGTGTACTTGGGAATGTTCCCATTCGGCCGGTCATGGTATGAGGATGCGTTCGCACGGTATTGGAATCTCTGTATCCAAAATCCGGCTCGTCTTCCTCCCCCTCCTCCTCGACTTCTTCTTCCGCCTCTTCGTATTCCTCGTCGATTTCTTCTTCCTCTTGAGCCGATTGTGCTAGTGCGGCATCCATATCCTTTTGGAGCCGTGCAATGGCATCGATCTCGCGTTGATTTTGACCTTGGACCTGGATTCCGTCGACTGTATGGGCATCTATCTCAACCTCTTGCTCAATTTCCATGCCTTCATCCATCTCTATTTCCTCCTCCTCGGCCATGCCCAATTCTTGCCCTTCTATTTCTGCAGCTTCTGCCAGGGCTGCAACATTTTCATCCACCATCACAGAGAACCCCAATTCCGGATCGAATTCAACTTCCTCATATTCACCGTCAGGCAACTCCCTCAAAAGCACATTCCGCTGCTGCGACTCGTCAATCTCGTCCTCCTCCTCTGGCAGATATTCCAAATCCTCAGCTTGGGTTTCTCGTAGCGGGGGGCCGTATAATCTTTCGTAGAGAATGTACTCGCTTGCAGACAAATAATCTTTTGGTAGAGTCTCCCCAAATGTTTGTCTTGCTTGTCTGACCACTGACTCCATTTCCGCCACACTCGTCACCTTCGTGTCTGGCTGGGGATCATCAGCCCGTATAGATTCGGTCTTATTTGAGACCTTCCGGATCTGCGAGCTTGCTTTGTGTTGAAGGACTCGTGCACAGGGGCGTAGAGATGTGGTGTATCGCGCTCGTAAGGCATTTCTGTTCGCTGAATTTGTGAAGCCATCCTCGAACAATGAGAGTAGCTGTAGTCGACATGACTGACACGCCCTGGGTACTCTCCGGGCTGTCAGCATTTTGCGTGGGGAGCTGTACAGGTTTGATGGTTTGTAGTCGATAACTTTTGGAAGGGTTCATGAGAGTGGAGCGGATGATTGAGCTGTGGCGAATCATAGAAAGGCAATAGCAAATCCTCTGAAACACACCTCGCTTTTTGCTTCTATAGGATTTCCCTCCACTTCGTAAGATAATCATTATCTATTTTAATTATCGTACTATGGCATTTTACACAGCACTCATAGTACGATAATTAAAATAGATAATGATTATTTTTGATGGGAATCCCCTCGAAATTTCTGCTACCCCTGAATTACGTTCATCATGTCATAGAGACTCGTTCAGCTGCTTGAATCGGCACCGTTGCAGAAACCTAGACAGATCAACCAATACTCGGTATAATAACGGTCGGCTTCACGAATGGTCACGATTCTTGTCTCTCTTTTGCTTCAATCTTGTTCTGTTTTGAGCCATCTGATGCATTATTTTGGTCCTATTCATGATTTGTGGATATGATGCCTTCCTATCAATGCGTACGTCCGATCCTCTCATGAATACCAAAACTCTATCAATGCGTTCTTCAAACCGTGTTCTCTCCCTCGAATACCTATTCTCCAATCTACATGTATTCGTTTCAAGCCTACGCTCCTCCAATTCAAGGTTGCTTTCCTCTTGGCTGACATCGAAAGAATCTGACTGATTCTATTCTCCTTGGGTTTGTTCCGTCTCCGTGTTTGGTTAGACGAACATGAACGGCCACTGTTCCCCTCTCTCACCTACTCTTCCAGGAGGGACCTCCCACAAACCGGCAACACTCGTTCTGTCGTTGCGATGGACCAAAGTTACTTGCTTGCTCCATTCGGTTTGCGCGCTTTGGTTGATCCGACGCATGATGAAGTTCAGTGGCTGGCCCTTAAGCTTGGCTCTTGCTGGACCGTCAGTTTGCGGCCCGTCGTCCCTCAACTCTTTCATAAAACCCCTAACATTCTCAGCCCTCTGTAGGCGATCTTGCTCCTTGTCAGCAGGACTTTCTTCATGATCATCAACCTTTCGTGATGTGTTCTCCGCAGTAACTTCTTCCCTGCCAGATGCCTCATCGAAAACCTCTGTGACATCAATCCTGCACGGCATTTTCCGATCTAACTCATCCAAGATCTGGTCAGTATGTGAGATCAGCCGGTAGGGGTGGGGGTGATGGAGCCTGAAGTTCATTGTATCCGTACTTGCGTCGATCCCTATTTCCTGATAGTTGGCGGATGCTTGGGCGATGTGACCGCGAAATTTCCTGTTCGACAAGCCTTCCCTTCCTTCATGGAGATCTTGTGATGCGGTAGCAATGATAGTGAGAAACTGATCGTGAGAAATAGGCTGCCCGGTCCGGGGGTCGGGAAAGCTCATCTCTACCCTCCGCTTGCCTTTGATGCGCTTCACAATGCGACGAAACGTAGGAATGATTGCATTCTTGGTCCCATCTTCGCTGGGAGATGCTAGGATCACGCCATGAAAGAAACCTTGTTCTGTATCGATATCACCTTCGTGGGCATAGCCGGCTTGCCGAATCATGTTGCCCACTTCGTTGCCTTTCTTTTTCGAGAACGTATTGCGTAATGTCGCGAACACTGATATTGGCCTCGAGGTCGCCATGGTGCTGTTATGTATGAGGATGGATATTATGGTATGTGTAATAATGAAGAGAAATTGGCGTCGAATTGAGTCCTCTTTTCTTTTGGTCGCCTTATTTCCTTCCCAATGTGTTCTATTCCTATAATCGCGTCAAGGCCTTCTTGTATATCGCACCTTCCCCGAAACCTCCTTTAACCTTGCTTCACTCTTTTGAAAGATGAACCCAAGCATTCCAGATTCTTATACTCTTTCACACCATCCTTCAGTACTCTCAATCAGAAAAAGTGCCGCGCCACTTGCTATTCGTATGCATTCAACCTCAATACAATATAGCTCGCACTCCACGCGTACCCCTTCTCGTCTTTCTTCATGAATTATAGCATATTCCCCATTCCTTGAACCATTTCCATATCGACAGGTAGCTCTACACTCTCAAAGTCATCATTGCGAGGAGGCCCCTTTCTGTACTGTATACACATTACTGAGCCTCCGCCCCAATTTTCTTTCGTCGCTATGTGCTCTTGATATATTCGAGCTGACTCGGGCAGTAAATGATCGAATGGCAAGTCGCCTCTTCCTGCTTCTTCCGTCGCAACCTTCCACTCACAAATTTTCAGAGCACTGTCACGAGGGAACATCCCTTCTTGCTCAGGCGCCAATCTCAACAGAGTCAAGGCTTTTTGACGAATTGGCTGGAGTCGACACTTCAGTATGAGGAAAAATAGGGGAGGTATGACACCCATGTCAAATGATAACGGCGGTGGCTTTCCTTGACGATGATCATGGATGAGGCTCTCACATAGAGTTGTAATCCGCTCAAAGTCCATAGTGTGGTCGTCAAAACACATTTCGCCTCCTAACAGCGCCTTGAGTGCTATGGTAATTAAAATGTAATACAGCTCGAGGTACATACAACCCGACTCCAAAGTCTGATCATACGGTTGAAGTGAACCCGCCATCATCGCTCCAGTAGCTTGTTTCCACTGCTCAAGTCTTTGGAGATGAGCTATCCGGATCGAATTTATGGTTGCTTCGTTCATGTTTTCGTACCTCGAATATCTATCCCCATCGCGAAGTGTTCTCATATAACCAAAATTGGCATTGTATTCATTGTCCAAACATATTCGAGCCTCATAGATATTTGAAAAATTATGTGGGATCAATCCAACGGCTTCCAAGGCTCGTGTGGTTGAGGTTGTTAGACCGGCAGAGGTGCTGCCATGCATGGCAGCTTGTATCCTAAGCCTTGTGAAGGAGCGATTCAGGGCTCCATAGATGTCTTCTTTAGCCTCGTCATTCACGGGAGAAGTTTTCCCTGGTATTTGGGGTCCTCGCAAGTCTTGCAAGATCTTAAGGCCGCTGTTCAAGTGTCGGAAACCTGAATCTAGGTTCCTCTGTAGGAACTCAATCCACACAAACATCAGGCACGAGATCAAAGTCACGCGAGGATCCTGATTTGCTGAGGAAAGATAGTCAACTAGACCTTTCACAGCTATGTTGTATTGCTTTAACACATTCTCATCAGACGAGGTAGAAGTCGTCAGCGCCATGCCACGCCTTTCATGCTCCTCGTATATTGCACCCAAAGCAATGAGTGATTGTTGTACTGCGGGGTACACGTGACAGAACTGTAAGACTAGGTTGTCCCAGAGATACGGTTCGAAGTTCCCGGGCATGCTCGAAAGATTTCGAGAGCGAAAGTAGTGGAAGCTCCGGCGCTCAGGCCAGCTTGCTTGGAGATCAAGGGATGGAACATAGGTATTGACTGAAGTCGACTCGACACCTCCGAGTAGCACGCACTCGGTAGCTGAGTTGTTTTTTGATCGCTTTGATTTCTTCGGGTTCGGTTCCTTGGGGGGCGTATATCCATCACATGTTCTCCCCGTCGAAACACATTTCTCACAACAAGGCTTCCTCTCATCGCATTTGACACGACGAATCTCTACCAGTTATTAGAACGCCAGCATTCCACTCACATTAGAGAAGAAAACTTACTGCAGGTGATGCACCCAGCCCGAGATTTCGGACCACTGTTCCGGAATTTTGAAACCATATCCCGGGGAAGATCTGGGGTACTTGGCGCACTTGACATGCTTCCTTCCCTTGGCGGTCTCGGATTGGTGGCAGCCACGAGATGGGACGCCATTACCACTCGAAACTTAGAGGCTCCCGAGAAATGCATATCAATGATATTATTTATTGAGTCAGAAGCTACCACTTCAATAAGATCCACTGCTAAAATCGATTACGAGACAGAGCGGTTGACGGAAATAATTATGGCTGCAATCTAGCTTGTGGAAACCCGAACCAGTGAAAGCAAAGAAGCTAGAAATACGAGCAACATTCTTTAATATACTTATTGCCCATGGAACTCATTGCGGCGAGGCTGAAGTCCCAGCGGTGTACTTCGGGGAGGTTAGGCATCTTTTGCTGTCATCTATTTGCAGCAAATGTTTACCGGCCGTGAGGTGAAAATACCCCTGCAATACGAAGCGCCCAATAGAAACACGCGAACATAGGTATTTACAGTCCATCACGCCACACTGCAACGTCCTTTGTTAAGCCTCAAAGCTACTTATCTGTCGTCACTGTATTAGTTTCTTTTCTGAAGTCGTTCGAGCTAGCTAGTTGAGTTATCCTAATCCGCCAATGATAATGTCTGAGGAATAAGGATTTCCTCTTTTTGATTAGCTCGAAGAGTAATCGGGCGGGTCGTATATGTATAATGGTGCCATCTTATATTATAAGCTTGCAGAAATTGAAGGATTCCTGAGCCGCAGCTATGGCTTTGGGATTTAACCTTTCTAAATCATGCAAGATCGGCAGCATGCGAGCTCAAAGTAAACCTCTTACAAATTATGGTTAAATCACGCGAGAAACGAGTTGTCTTGTTTGGCTTCAGTCGTATTGCAGGGAACTACAGGCTGACAAGTAGTTTTCACTGTAGCTGACGGAGCATGCCCACGTAGAAGCGGCTTGAGATATCTCAATAAGAACGCTTCGCAATATCACATCTACTATAAATAACGAAATGCCTGTACTCTATACACCAGCAACTTCCTCCCATTGTATACTGCTTCCGACCTTTCTTTTCCAAAATGCCTTTATCATCCATAATCGCGTCCCTCGCCGCCGCGGCGTCCGTAGCAGCCCACCCACTTCCATTGAATAGCATTCAGTGGACGGATTGTGCGAAAAATGTTCCAGAATCGGATGGCGCCTTTAATTCCTCGACTGTTGATCTTGTCTCTCTTCCTTCAAATCTTCACTGCGGACAACTCGATGTCCCGATGGATTATTCGAAACCGTTTTGTGAAACAAATAAGATAACGCTTGGGCTTGCGATGGTTCGACCTGCAAATCCTAAGGGTGGTTTATTTTTGTGAGTGAGAACGTATACGTATTCACAGACAGGGTGAGATGCTGATATTACTTTTAGCAATCCTGGAGGAAGTGATGCAGGTGTCATTGTTGCGTGGGAAGTTGCGTTGAATTTGACGAATGCTTTTGACAGCTTGCTTGACTTTGACCTTTTTAGTGAGTTAGCCATCTACTTTGTTAATCATAGTGGACATGAGACACGTAACTGACTCAATATTATATTTATGGATGTAAGGGGAACATATAGTTCGAATCCCTTGAACGTTTCTCTGGATACCTTAGCTGGTATTGGTGGCCCTTAGTAAGCCTTTTCTGCCTACTCTCCTGAAGCTAAAATAATATCTGACATTTGTGTAGCCCAACAAATCAATCGGAATACGATGCTGTAAAGAATGCGTCTGCCGTGGTTATTCAATCTTGGATTGATAATAGCTCCCCACCTGGCATTATCAAACACGTCGGAACGAGGGAGGTAGTGCAGGATTACGAGATGGTTAGACGAGCGCTTGGATACGAGAAGATTAACTTTCTCGGAGCTTCGCAGTAGGTTGAATACCTTTCTGATGGTAAATCAAGGCTTGGGATTGACGAATAGCAGGGGAGGTTTTCGAGCATCTCAATACGCGGTACCATTCCCACACCGGGTTCGCAATTTCGTAATGGACGCTTCTGCTCCTCATGGACGGGTAAGAAATTCTCATGACGGGTATAGAGATATTTTGACCGACTGACGTATATAGTCGATGTATGACCAAACAAAAGACACTATTGCAGGGATGAATCGAGTCATGCTTCGTGCTGATGCATACTGCCAGAATAACGCCTCATGCCCATTCCATTCCGAAGGGATAGGCAGTGTTGTAAAAGTAACTCGCAACCATACACTATCCCAACACACAATGTCATGTTTCTGATTTTGGATACAGGCGGTCAAACAAATTATTGATACAGCAACACAAACCCCATACCCCATTCCTTCCTGCGTTAATAGCACAAAGTGCGCGCCGTATATTACGGATCTTGATATCCGAAGTGGGCTTGAAGGTGCTCTCCTTGGGTCGCCCGACTTTCCGGCTATTTTTGATGCAATAAACAGTACTTTGGCTGGTAATGCAAGCGCATTTATTAGTCCACCGCCGACAGTAGACAGTGTTGTCTCCATGCCTTTGCTTTGTAATGACTATGGTACGCAGGAGCTCTCATATTGTTCGTGCGGAGATGCTAATGTCGGAATGACAGACTACCCGAGGACGTTTGAGTATTTCAAAAAGTCGTTGGACGATGGACTCAAGGTAAACTAATAACCAATACAGCTCTGTGTGCTTTCAAATTCTAACTAAACATAATAGAATGACACATCAGGACTTGGCCTCACCTTAACTTGGGAAATTCAGGTATACCATTTCTTGATCTTTCTCCGAATATTCTGCTAAATAGCCCGTCAGCTTGCCTGTTCTGGATGGACATTCAAAGTACCCAAAGATAAGCGCATACAGAGCAAGCAAACTCTCTTGATGATTGCTGCGGATTTCGATGCAAGGTATTTCCCTAGCATCTCCTAATCAAAGCTACTAACACTCGTGCTAACTTCCACACAGTGCACCAGAGGAGTGGACCATCTTCGACTGGGAAACAGCCCCCAACTCAGTTCTAGCCATTAGACACGGCGAGGACCATGTCTCGTTTCCATGTACATTCTCACCCCCATCCATCTACTCTTAGACCCTTGCTAAAGATAAATAGTGGTGGATCAACCATCTACAAAAATGATGAACGAGTTCCTGAACAATGGTAATCTACCTACTGCACAGAACTCGAGCCAAGTAACGGTATATACGCATGGCATGAAACCCGCACCGATTTCAGATCCGTATCGAGTCCCAACAGGACCCGAGGTTGGCGATGTTGATAGCGGGGCTGTGGTTGAGTTTACTTTTTGAAGATACGGAAACCCGTGGTTCTAGTGTGTAGATTGTGGTTTCGATAGGTTGTGGTAATACAGCTTTGGAGAGCTTTTCAACTGGGGGGAGGAGGATCTAGACGCTAGAAGGCTTGTTTATAGGGGCTGTTAGCTAAGCTTCAGGGGTGTAGTCGCTAAGTTCTTAGCGAGTGGGCCCCTATTTAGGCGATGTTATTAATTTGGAATGTAAATACAAGCAAGGATATTTCTATATCATGCAACGAAGAGGCTTTAATGAATGTACGTAAAGATTGTGTATTATAGAAACAAATCATCACTCTCCTCCAACATTCTCTCCTGGTCCAAGATAACCTCCTACGCAAAAGGATTCCATCCGCTGTCAACCATCGCGAGAGCTCGTTTGGTAGCCTCATCCAAGCTATCATTTGGCAAGCCAATCAAGGAATTGTGTAACCCTTTGCTAGTTTCATAATCGCCATCGCCATTCTGGAAGAAAACGCGAGTGTACATTGCCCTCGCAAACCCCGTTCGATCGCCTTTCTTCATATCCTCGATTCCCTTTTTGTATCTCTCAATACTTGACTCGGAAACAATGTCCCAGTCCTCGTCTGTCGTGCCCTTGACTCGATGAACACTGTCCAGGATATCACGCTGACTAACCCTAAAGCTCGAGACATAAAGCGGCTTGTCCTTCCACTGGGACACAGTTGGAGACTTGTCATTCGCATCTTCCGGTATCTCCTTCAAGCTCAAAAGCCCGGCTAGAGCTCGTCCACAAGCTATCCACATACTGATGTTAACAGCCGTCTTTCCATCGTCGAAGAATGTGACTTTCTTATCTTTGATATCGAAACCGAAATGCGCCGGCCCCAACGCTAAACTCCACTCGTACCAGAAGCCGCAGCACATGGCAACGTAAGAACTAACGCCCAGACTTTTGATATCGTCGCAGATTTTGCTAGCGCCACCATAGAGATATTCCTTTGCAAGCTTCTCGTTTGTAATATCGTACCCGAAGAAGTTGGGCATGATGTAGGGAACACCCGCCTTCGCGGCAGCCTTAACAATATTTATCTGCGTATCAGCAGGTGCCCGAACACCCATGGTTATGACGAGAAATTGCTGTCCCTTCAAAGCGGAAACGAGAGAATTCTCATCGTCGTAGTTGATCTGAGCGATCTTGACACCTTCGGGAACAGTGCTTTTACTGTCGGCGCGTGTCAAAGCCGTGACTGTGTGCTTGCCGGTCTTGATTAGCGCCTCAGCAAAATGTTTGCCAATGTTGCCACCGGCCTGTTACTGCTGTTAACCAGGATTCGGGGGACAGCCTTAAGAAGACTGCGGTGCGTACTTACCCCAACGATGGCAACTTTCTGGATGTGGTTGATAAAGCCTGCAGGCTGATCACTAGCGTATTTATGCGACATGTTGCGGTAAATACGTAAGGGAAAAGCCCAAAATGTTGTGCTTAATTTTGGAGTTCTTAGGATACTTAGGATTATATTCATTAAATGGCTGATGATGGTTCAAGTTTAAAATATCCAAGTTATATATACGTGATTCGCAATGCAACATGGGGTTTGGATGAATGAACAGGACATGCAATATTGAGTTTCGGGGTTGGAGAGATCACGGAGTTTATATTGGTATGTACTGAGGCAAAAGCAAGGTTGCTAAGAAATTGCGCTAGCTACGATTCGTTTTTATATCACTGCTATTGGTCTAACAATTTAGTAAGCAATTCTAAACTCCATGGAGTATGTTCGTAATTCCGGAGTTTGAATTGATTGTAATTGTAATCGATATTGTTTTGCAACAGACAGAGAATACTATGACCATAGTAATCAAACATCCAGCATTTTCAAAAGTGAGTATCCACATCAGTAGCCAAAAGTTCACTATAAATTTCTCAAGTCTTAAATATCACGTGAGGTGCCACGAGTGTACTATACACGTGATGCCGACCCTTAGCGCCATCACAACTTATATATTCGCTTTTTTCTAAGTCTGAAATTAGGACTCTTTTTACTCCATAACTTTTGTTCAGCAGAAGCCAGGATATATCTACTTGATTTGCAATGGTGACACGCATATAATCTGTTCATCGGACTGCAAATATTGGAGTTCATGGAACTCTGTTTATTACCTGCCGTCTTCGCAATTGTACTGTTACTGGTACAGTAAGCATTTTCTGTCAACAAACGAGATTTGGTATTTTTTTGCAAGGCTTGAACTCTATCATTTGTTATTTATAAGGAGGAATATGACAATCCACAATTCCTGACAATTGCTCTTTTTCTATTTGTGCGCCTGTAAGAGCTTGTTGTCTGCCACTAATGAGTCGAAAATAGCGGTGAAACCCCTAGCAACCCCTGGAGTTAGTGGGCTTGCCGCTCTTTTCCAGCGCTAAGTACTACGAACCCTCCCCCACAGCCTCTCCTACAGCACTCTGTAAACCCAGCAGCAGTGTTGCCTCGGCGTTTTTAGCGACGATGTTAAACCAACCTAATTCGTCTAACTACTTCCCCCCCCCCACCCAGTATTTCCATATGTCTGACAGCGCGGCTTATTCCTAGCAATGGGTTTCATGGCGCGGGTTTTAGTCTGACTGGTATACTCATAATTGTCGACATTTCTCAAGCCTAGATAAAACCAATAATCACCAGTCACAGCCATAATGGGTTCGGCAGCGGAAAAGTCACCCCTGGCCCAGCTTTCTGACGAGGAAATCATCGCCGAGTTACAAACTTTCAAGCCTATTGACCCGAATTCCGAAAGAAACATTTGGGCATTTTGGGATCGAGGGATTGCTGCCTGCAAACCTTGGTGCCAGCGGAACATCATCAGTTGGGCCCGAAGACACAGTAGCTGGACAGTTCGTGTGCTAGACACCGAGGAAGGTTCACCGAATCATTACTCCAATTACATCCCCAATACTGTCGAATTCTTCCCCGATGCATTCATCAAACGTACTATGGCGGGCATCCATGTCGGCCCTCATGCTGCCGACTTGATCAGGCTTCCATTATTGTACCTGTATGGGGGTGTCTGGCTCGATGTCGGGTTTACTCTCTTCCGCGGGTTAGACGACCTATGCTGGTACAAGCTCGAGGACGCAGAAAATACGTTAGAGCTTGCAGGATTCAAGATGACAATATCATCCGAGGCGGGCATGTTCTGGAACGGTTTCATTGCTTCGAGGAAGAGCTGTGCTGCAACCAAGCATTGGCATGACACTTTTTTGAAGGTGTGGGAAGGTACAGATAGCACAACGGGTATGAGTGGCCACCCGCTCCTACGCCATCTCCCCCGCTACGAAGTACCCTCCGCTACGGGCAAGCCCCCCGCTTTTCAGTATGCACACTTTGTCGACTACCTGGCACAAATGTTCTGTCTTGAGCGCCTCCGCCACACCCGCGATCCGGTTATAGAGTGGGATGGCCCTGCCGTTTTCTCTCAGAATGTACTTCTCTATGAGTGTGTTAGTGAAGTGTACTGGGCCCAACATCTAACTCATTGGGATGGTCGTAAGCAATTCGACCTTCTCAGTCGTCAACGGGAAGGAGCAGAGCAGGATGATAAGTTTAAGGAAGCTGATGCTTTTGTGAATGGTATCCTCGGCATGTCGTCGACCATGAAATTGTCTCATGGCTTAGTGACAGAGGAAAGAGAGTATCTTGCCCGAATTTGGGATGAGCCTGAAAATGTGGAAGCAGATAGAAAGCCAGGAACGTTTGCAGCCCATATGAGGTGGGCGAGCATACACTTCCAACAAGATCGGGAGTTGAGTCCCGTTGCCTTGACATTGCGGGAGGATGCTTTATTGACGGGTGGACTTTTTGAAGCTGTGGGAAAGCCTCACCCGCACTGGGAAACCGAGTAAGTCAATGTATATATTACATTTCCAATACTGAGTATTCTTATCAATGTGAATACATTAATGCTGTCACTGTAGCTACCAACGAATAATGTGTCCAATTCTAATGTAAATATGTAGAAGATAGAATTGTAAAACTTCGGCGTTCTAAACCCCCTTATAATCCTTGCTGATTTCAATTTGTCGATCCTCTTTTGAACCTTAATATATTTACAGTATAAACACCCCGAGAAATGATCCCGCCTTTAGCTGCTATGCTATGGCAAGCTTAGAGTTGCTACCTTCGAGGCACTATGGACAAATAGTCCGTACCAACGACTCCAGTCAAGTCCTCTCGCTAGATCTATCATGATTTTACCAAAGTTTCTTGCGCCCATAGGATAGGCACAAGTCCAAGCAGTGAAGATAACCCCCATGCTGTATTATGGCCCTTGGGATACTTCAATATCATAGTATAACCGAACATTGTTACACCAACCCGCACAATACTTTCCAGCAGTAGAGTAAGATTAACATGGATGCCTGTCCCAGTAATCACTACGCCTTTCGTGGTCAACGTATCAAGAAGCATACCGAAAACTGTTACGAGAAACATTGTATTCCTCTTACCAAGTCTTACTGGAAGTGTTTTCATGTCGTATTTGGTGTCTTCTTCTATATCTCTTATATCGCATGCTGTCTCGCGGATGAATTGATAGATGGCTGTAACCAAGATGGTCTTTGTACGAAGAGAAGATTCGGTACACTGTCCGCGGTTATGGCAGAAGTAGAACATGCTAGTTTCTGCTGTAACATATGTCATGCAAACGGCTACCGTAAGTGATTTAGCTTCACGAAGCTGAATTATGTAAGTACATATTCGTTTCTAGGATTGGAGGGACATACGATAGTTTTCGGTTTCAAAAGAAGAAACCCGGAAGAATGGGAAAAGAATGGGAGGCAAGGTGTTCCCCAGCCCAAACCAATGAACGCAAATCGATACATTTGTATCGCAGGCTGAAGTCCACAATAAAGCGTGCAGACCAAGGTAATTGTCCACAAGGAGTATACCCAGAGACGCCAAACCCATTTTCGAGGCCGATCGTCCAAAGGGATATCTTTGTATGTATCCAGAGCTGATTGATATAGCGTCAGCATTTATCAAGCACAAAATGATTATCTCCGACCCACAGTCAACAAGAGTGGTAGCAGCAGTTAACATTCCCAGAAGTGCCCCAGGGAACTGGTAAGTTCCAGTGGCAATCTTGCTGGCCCCGATGGTAGGCGACAGATGTCCTAAGGCCATCAGAAAGGGCAAAACCCCAAGGCTGAAGAAGGTGTCTCCACCTGAAAGCTTTGCCATTGTTGTTGTTCGTTGCATATTAATTCATCGACAGCTGATGAGATGAGCTGTACTTGATTCTCGGGAGACTTGAGTTTATTGCTTAGAACAAATAATGCTGCTTGTCAGGCTCGCACGTTACAGATGCAGAATCTTTTTAGTATCCTAGCCTTCCCTCACTACATGCCAACTTCTCGCCGTCAGCAACGAATAGGAAAGCAAAAACAACTGCAGGCATCTTGTCTGGAGTGGACTCTTGCTGATACTAGATACAGCGGCCGGTGGCGCTCTAGAGCGTGTGAGATCGGCATTACTATTACCTTTAATCTCGTGGTTTATTATAGACTACTAGACTACATGCTCACTGCATACTCACCTACGGCCACGCCGGTGTAACAGCATGTGAGATTTCAATATTCACCCCAGGAACAGAATCCTTAGCCAGTAGCTTCGTAAGGACCATATCTCACTTCAAAGGCAACATAGCAGAAGGGTTCTGCGAAGGCCAATAGCTTCCTAGTTTGCTGCGGGTTGTATGTCGGCTCAGTGGTTGTACGTTAATTAGCTTATTCCGTAAAAGTAGTGTGTGTTGTCAAGATGTAGTCAATTTACAAGTTGAGATTTAGGCTCCTTTGGATTTTGATTGATCAATTTGTGTGGTGAAACTGTGCTGTGCCACTCTTAGGGCGATGCGGGGTGAGAAATACTTGCAGTAGCCCCAGATATAGTGATAGTACATCTCACAACCCCGCCAAACCCCGCTGATAACGACAACCCCGCTACTCCAAAAAGTCCTATAGCGGGGGAATCTGCACGTAAGTGGCGCTAATATTAACAACTGTGCTTCCCTTCTTTTCACCTAGTGGTTCGTAAAAAACGGGAAGAAGATGGGAAGGGACGGGAAAGGCTTTCAAGGACAAATGCATATACTCTCAATCGTTGCGTTTGCAAAACGCTGTTGCCTAAAAGCAGGCCCTAGCTCGCAATATGCGTCCAGCGCTCGCTCCAAAGATTTAGATGGACCACACTGACACGTTGAACAAAGTTACTACGGACTACACAAAGATGCTACCAAGAAAGAATTTTGTATATTTCTGGCCCTTACTCACGCACAGCGTATTGAACTCACTCTCACTTCAAAACTTAATTTTAAGTTTGTAATTTGCTCGGACTTTGAGGATTAATGATCGACTGACTTTCTGAGCTATCCGAGTACCAGGTGACACATATCACGGCTATTTTACTAGACTTGCTGACAGTGCTGGAATCCTTCTGCTCCCTGTACGTGTACCCCACCAAGTCATCCTGCTAAAACAGCGATGCCTTCCTCTTCTGGCGTAGTTGCCCCCTCATATCCCAAATAAACATCTCATTTATGGAATATTTGAGTTAGTATGCTTTGGGCTATCAGACCCTGTCGCACCGATCAGCATAGTAAACAATTTACTTTCGATGTCTTCGCTCTTTTCCTTCAATAATACAAAACTTGACCTGAATATCATCTTGGACCGTATTATCTTTTGGAAGGCTAAAAATGGATTTTTACACCTCGCTGCCATGGCAAACACTTGTTCCTAAAGCCGTAGCTTATGTTACAGTGGGAACGTTGCTTGCCTGGTTTGTATACCTCATTGGACCGGCATTGCGCGCCTCACAGTCGAGTAAATATGAAGGGTTCGAATGGGTGAAAGGAGAGCGTGGGCTCTCTAACTTCTTCTCGGTTGCGTATGAGGTTATTTTCAAAGCGGAGGGTTTATTTAAAACAGCATACGAGAAAGTGAGCAGGTCGATTCTCTGTTTTATATTGACATTCGCTGACATGGTAGTTCCGCAATACGGTTGACAGACCGTTCCTGATTCCGTTCCCCCATTCGAATACTGGATTCATGCTTTTGATGCCCGTGGAACTTATTGGCGAATATGCTCGACAGCCAGAATCTGCAGTGTCATTTAACAAATATGTTCGTGAAGTGATGCTCGCCAAATACAGCTTGTTTGGACAAAATGTCTTGGACAACAACATTCAAAAACCGATTGTTTACCGGGAGCTTTTCCAAAAACTCGGTGATAAGATGGGGATGATGAATGAGGAGATGGTTGGGGCATTAGACAAGTTTCTTGCTTCACAGCTCAACGGAAAAAGCGAGATGCAAATCAATATGTGGGACACGGCAACGAAGTTCCTGTCACGCACAAGCAATAGAATTATCGTTGGTTACCCTCTATGCCGCAACCAGGAATATTTAGATGCAACAGTTCATTATGCTGTCAACATGTTTTCAATCGCTCTATACATGAGGTTCATCCCGCCGTTTCTTCGACCGTATGTATTAGAATATATCCTCTAGAGAAGCTGATACTAACCCCTTGCAGTTTGATCGCACCTTTGGTCCAACGACCCCTCAAACGAGACAGAGATATAGTGCTCAAACATGCCACTCCAATCATCGAAGAACGCAAGAAGATTATCGAAGAAGCAGAAGAGAAGAACGTGGAACCCAATCTTCCAGTATGATGCTTGAACATCTTATTTCAAATTTTCATAAAATTTATCGGAACTAACAATTCTTTGCAGAATGATCTCCTTAGTTCTGCGATGAAAGCTGCACGAAAGGACCCTAACGCACGCCTGGAGTATACAACGATAATGCTAGTGAATAGGGTTCTCGCCTTCAACTTCTTGCAGTCTTATTCCAACACACTTACACTCACCAATCAAGTATACGATCTTATCTCTCTACCAAAGGGCACGTTCGAGGAGACTATTGCCGCTATGCGCAAAGAAATCAGCAAAGCGCTGGAAACAAAGGAGGGCTGGACTCATGAGTTTGTGAACAACTTACCCGTCATGGATTCATTTCTACGCGAGAGTCTACGTGACAACCCGATCGGTGAGGTTGGACTTGAGCGAACAATTATCAAAAAAGATGGTTTCACTTTCTCAAACGGTCTCCACGTGCCTTATGGCACGACTCTCGCATCGCCACTGAAGGCTATTCAGCACGACGCCAAAAACTATCCCGGCGGCTTCAATCCAAAGCGATCTCTCGAAGATCCGAACCACCCAAAGTCAACAGATATTGGCCCGGACTTTTTGAACTTCGGATTGGGTAGGCCCGCATGTCCAGGACGATGGTTTGCTGCCAATCTCCAGAAGTTAGCCCTGTCGCATCTCGTCATGGACTATGATTTCGAGCGTGTCGATGTTAGACCTGCAGGAGTACGAAAAGTTACGCTGGTTGAACCTTGCGGTAGGTCCCTGATTACGCTCAGGAAACGAGAAATACAAGCATGAAAAGTATTGTCGAGGGCTAGTATGTTGTCGGGCTCAATAGATGCACCTGCTTTTCAGCAGGGTTTCCTTTCAATAGGTGATGCTTTTATTCGGCGTAGATAAATATTACGGAGTATTTGTTAGCCTATTCTATTGAGCCCTTGCGCTCGAAGTGATGCGCCCGAAGTGTTGAACGCGCCCATATATGTGTCGCCTAGGCACCTGATCAAGTCTTCTTCAATACCACCAGCGGATGCCGCCGTGATAGACTATACATACCATCATGCATACAGTGAGGGTCGTTTGTGGGCCACGTGATCGAAGGCACCAACTGTTGGCACCTCGGATTAGCTTAGTCATGCTTGAGGTTATCTCATCGCAGCACTCGTAGATCTTAATAAAATCAAGTCTTCACCTTGAATCGAAATAACCCTGCCCTCAATACTAGGGGGCATATTTGATTGCCGATTTCTGATTTCCTGCTGTGGCAGGTACTCCGAAAATCTTTTGGATCCAGTCACTTCGCAGTTCGACATCTCACAACTACCAGATCTATGGACATCATGCCATCAGAAAGCAAAAGCAGCAACGCCCGTGAAGTTCCATTTGCAGAAGCTTAAAAAAGCTGCTGCGACCCTAGCAGAGTGCTTTGTGGATGACGTAGTAGCGCGCTACTACCTCCAGATATCTGGATGCACTTCTCCGCTAAACTCAAGGGAGGAAAAGCTAAATCTTCGAATATACGAATGTCTCACTGCTGCCCACTGCTGCGACGGGCTTGTCATTTCTGCAGGCTCATGTCATGATTCTGTTGGCCTCTGGTTGCTACCTGATAGCGACTGGAACTGGAAAACATACTGGAGAAGTGGAATATGGCTGCTCTGGCTACGACTTGGTGGGGAAGGCAGGAAGCGCTTCTTCGGCTCATGGGATACATTAGAGGAGGGTATGACTAGTATTATGGGAGCAAGATCTTCTATCACTTGGGTATTGGCCGATTTGGGCACAAGAAAGTGTTCTCGGGGCCAAGGGTATGCCACAAAAGTAATGGAACATGGACTTGCATTAGTAGGTATATGTTCTCGTATCCGTCAGATCCTAATAGTTTCTCTTGTACTGCTATGAGTCGGATCTATCTATCTTCATGCACTGTTCGCTGTATACAGATCTAACGTCTGCGTAGGCCGATGCTCAATCTCAACCTATGTACGTGGAATGCTGCGATTACAACGTATCGTTTTATGAAAAGTTCGGCTTCCGAAAGAGGAGCACACTATCATTAAATCGTGCTCAACAACCCATTATATTACAGACAATGGTTAGAGAACCAGGAGGGATTTGATTGTGATCAAGTATCTAGAATTCCGTATTGATCCCAAACAACCTTGGAGACTCAGGACGACAGACGTGCTCCAGAAACTCCTCTTCAATCCCGGACTTACGAATCATCCTCTCCCCGTGAGGCAACTGGGAGTGGGAAGGCAAGTTCTTTCATACACGTAGAGGACGACCCTACTACTCTTCTCAGCCGGTCAATAACTTCCACCATAATGTGGTCTGTCCCATCTTGCCTCTTTCTTCTTCTCCTCAGGCTCACTCCGATCATCAAAATACTGCACTCTCTTCTCCTCAGTGAGAACACATAGATCGAAGTCCTCTCTAAAATCAATCGAAGTCGCATTAACTGAAACATACGGTCTCGCATCATTCTCTCCATCCCACTTCGCACGCCAAACTTCTCTCTCCCCTTCTTGGTTATCAGATAGCTCTGTGAAATCCACGACATCGGTCTCACCCACGCCGCCAAACGTAAAGCATCGCACTCCACATTTTGGACAGAAGTAGAAATTCCGTTTCTTGTCGTTACATTGGTAGGTACTCAATTCATGATCTGGATCAAGTGGTGAAAGGAGCATGAAATCGTCTCGAGGATTGGCAGGATGGACGTGGAACATGTTCATTTTGTAACACGTGGTGCAGTTACAGCGGTAGACTTCTTGTTGGACTGGTTGTGGTGGATGAGACGACGAGAATGGATGTGGAAGGGTGAGGAAGACGATGTACTGCGTCAATCCGCAGTGACAGGACCCGCGGCATGCTTGTCGCTTTGGCGCTGTCTCTGCCATCTTGTGAAATGAGAGGTCTTGGAGTGAAGTCTTGAACTGAAGCGACGAATTGGTCAACCATGGAACCTCAGAGTGCAGGTATAATAACTACCTAAGAGGGAACTTTGCTCTTCAAAATTGTATGTGGACTGGACATCAGGTAGGCGTTGACAAGAGACAAAGCAGAAATACAGACAGTCTGATTCAATGTGTCCCCGGAAGTGGGGTCCCGGAAGTAGTCATGAACCTAGAGCCAATGACTAAGCGACAAGGCGTTCTTGTCGCAGCGCAACCACCAAAGAACCTAGATATGCAATAATAACACAACCCAGATCAAGTCTCACTAGCTAGTAGAGAGTGATCACACCTATGATACCTACAGTCGAGATACCCCCGGGCACTTCACTCTTTCCTGCACTTCCCAATGGCCTTCAAAATAGAGTCTAGGAGATCGTTGTCGGCGCGCCACTTCCACGCCGCGTTCAGGGGATTTCATCCTGGTACTAGCTGTATCTACTAAATGGTGCCTCAAGTACGCATCGACTTGCTCGATTCCCTCTGTGCTTTTTTACTGCCCAATCACTTGGTGGTACGACTAGTCTTCGGACCAGGTAAAATGCTCTGACAGAAAAACAAGTGATGTGGCTTGACGGACAGTCCAATGTTGCAAAGATGATCGCTATGGTGTACTCTGCTGCTGGGGTGCCTCTTCGGCCACCGAGTGAGGAAGCGCACTCTTGAACGAATGGCACAGTAATAACGCTCAAGTAAGTAATGGCAAGTCCGACATGGAAACACAAAGTCGAGCACGCGGTTGTTTTATTTTTGAGAATAGTAATCTCAGGCATCAATTATATAGTACACAGAAAGGAGTTCTTCCTCGATCAAGTGATTGCTAAAGTTTTAAATCGTACGAATCGTGCAAATTTAGGGGGGTGGATCCCGTGATCATCACACGTGATGTCTTATCCTGTGACAAAAAGTGGGGGTTGACACTACTGTAGTTGTTTGCGGGCTTCAACTTTCTAGCAGATTATACACAATCAGATATTTGTCTCACTCGGCTCGGGTATATCTTTTTCCCGCTTGCGTAGCTATCATATGCGCACCGCCACAATGTATAAACTTGCAGTACCAATCATATGAGTCAGAAACGGCACAGGAAGAATGTCTATTGGTCACATCAGTCGCCCATCAAAATCACTCATAACGAGTCTTACCTTGTCGGTTACGGTTTGTGTAAGGAGAACGACCAAGAGTATAATGATTTGAAGGGGATTATATAAGGCTCGAATCTCTTGGTTATCCTATCTCAACCACATTCCCAGAATTCAAACATAATCTTGTTTGTGTATCCTTCACGGCTTGCATAATTTATCGGAGTCCGAGATTTCTGAGATTAATGCCAGTACTCAATAACACATCTTCAGACCAACACACAACAATGGACACTAAAATTTATTCCATGCCAAAAGGGATGCATGCTATTCCAGGGCACCTGCTTGACCTGCGCTCCGACTCCGAAGTCGACCATGATCTCCTCCACCCCAAGCCCGTCACCGACGAAAAGAACGTCTGGTTTTTCTGGCACAGCGGATTCCAAAACATGCATCCCTACACCCAACGCAACATACGCGCCTGGCATAGAAGGTTCTCCCCCCAAGGATGGGTAATACGCGTGATGGACAGACTACCATCCTCGCCCCTCAACGTTGCCAATTTCCTCGATATCGCCGATCCGGGCACCTTTCCCCGTGCCTTTGTCGACGGCACTATTGGTGGCGATTACGCCCCTCAGCATAATTCCGATCTCGTCAGATGGCCGCTCCTTCTCAAGTATGGAGGCGTGTACGCTGATGTAGGCTTGATGCAACTCGGCGACTTGGATCGTATGTGGAGTGAGACGGTTGGGAATCCCGATTCCCCGTTCGATGTCCTTTCTTATAACATGGGTGGTGTTGATGAGCGCAGTCTGACGAATTACTTCCTCGCTTCTGGTCGCGACAATCCGCTTTTCGCACGGTGCCACAAGCTTTTCTTGGAACTGTGGGCGGCTGATGACGGGAAGGCAAGTACGGAGGGGATGCATAGTAGCCCGTTGCTGCGAGGTGTTCCGTTGTTAGGCCAGACGCTGAGTTTCGAGGAGAACGGCAAGAAGTATGGCCCAGAGGAGGCTAGCCGAATGTTGTCGGACTATATCACTCAAGGCCAAGTCATGTCAATGGTCATGGGATTGATTGACGCGGAAGGTGGCTGGGATGGACCTAGGTATTGCGCTGAGAGGGTTTATGCCATCGAGTATATGGTTGGCTCGCAACTTATCAATGAGATGACCGCGTGGGACGGCACGAAGGCATTTCGTCTGATGTCTCTATCGCTTGCCAAGGATGGGGAGGCAGAGAGCTCTGAGCAGGAAGAGGCAAGAAAGATCGTCGAGGCGTGTCTCCAGAAGAGCTTCGGGTTCAAGTTGGCCCACGGCATAATTCTCAGAATGCTGGGAGCGACGCTTGGCTCGTTGTGGAGGAAGCATGATGGTTCTGATAATGTGCAGGGAACCTACGCGCATTGGCTGAGACACGGTACAATGTATTGGAATCAGGATGGAATCCCACCCCGTATGGATTTCCAAGTGGTTGAGCCTTTCAAAAGAGGGCCTCTGTTGAGAGAGAAATGAATAGAAGATTATTGGATTGACCTTAGATGCAGAAATCGATGGCAAACTGTGATGATATCCTGCCAAGGCTTCATCGAATTGTTCTGGTCTTGCACACTGATCTTTTTTCCCGCAGCCATCGGTGACAGAAGGTATGGTGATATGGCTTTGATTATCTCTCTCGTGGGTCAAAAATAGATTGCATTGACTAATTCATCCCTAATTTTTACCGCAGCAAGTCTTGAACTTCTTTTTACTACCACAATGGCAGGGGTCATTCCTCCCAATCTTCTTCCCACCCAACCCACCTGATGTGCTACCAGAAATACCAGCACCTCCGCCGCCATTCAACAGCAACCCAATTTCAGGAATCAATCTCTGGACAGATGTACCCATCCGGTGGATCGTAATTCCATTCCCTTCAGCAACATTAACATCCCCGCCCTTCTCTATAAAGTACCTTAGCGCATCCACCGTCTTCTTCTTCCCCTTCGCACTATAATCACTTGCCATGATAATATCATGCCCAGCAACACAGCCATAGCGATTCCGATGGTTAATAGCTACACCAGCCTCTACCATAATATCCGCAAACTCACGATCCCAATACGGCTTAGTGGAAATGGCATACATGAAGGTTGTGGTACCGCTCAGATCCGTAGAATCGACGGGTACTTTTGCCTCGAGCGCGAGATAGCGTGTTGTCTCAAGGTAACGCAGCCGGTTGTACGGGTCGAGGTGAGTGAGCTGGAGCAGGAAGTTGAAGAGGGGGACTTTGGTGGGGCCGTAGTGGATGTCGGCAAGTGATTGGCGTGTCTTCTCAATGCCATCGACGCTGGATCTCTCTTCGAAATCGGCGCGCACGCTTGATGTGGGTCCACGCACGATGTGGGAGTAGTCGTCTAGGTCTGCTTCAGTCCAGACTTCGGAGGTGCAGAAGGTGCGCAGCCTTTGTGCCTCGGCGCCGGAGAGAACATGTGTACCACCGGGCAGATTGGCCATGGTGAGATTTGATACAATGTAGTCTGCCTCTTAAATTCCAGGTAGAGGCTTTCGTGAGTTCCAAAGCCGCCGTTTCTGAGATGGCGGTGTGGGTTGAGAACTGCGGTTTTAAAACGCACAGACCTCCTCGGTTGAGATTTTAGGGGGTTTCAATCTATTCACCTATCTTTAGTTTACAGCGGGTTTGTGGTCCAGTACCAATTAAGATATTATTTTATACTAAACTCAACACGAACGAGTGGTCGTGTATGGTGCAAATTGTATCTTATCTCTAATGTGATAAGTTGTCTTCTGCCTACAGCTGGGTTTGCAGCAGAACTTGCAGCTTTATTGCCTTTAGAGGTACTGGCCGCAGAAATGTGTTACTGCGCTGCGTTACAGGGTTAAAAGGGGGCTCGCTTAGGCTCCTATTCCTACAGTATTCCATAGCGATCGTTGCCCAGGCAACACGCTAAATGAATAGACGCATAGGCCATACAGTGAACTCAACGACGCGTCTAACAGCGACAATCTTCAACAAACGCTTTTGCTTCCCCAGCCATTACTCTTTTCCCCGGAAGCCCAAATATGGGTAAAGGAACCCGCGGATTTAACTCTCAGCGAGTCACAGCTGGTCGCGTTGAGAAGCCTCGCCAAAAAACGGAGAAACAGAAGTACCACCGCGAACAAAAGGCGGCGCGCCGCGAGCTCCCATCATGGTACTACCGCATCCTCGGCATCGAATACACCAAGAACAGAGACGCCCGACCTGCCGACTTTGACCAAGATCTATCTGAGCTGGAAGAAGCGTCGCCGCCGAAAGAGGAGCGTGAGTGTATTTGTGGCGACCCGGTGGATAGCGAATGTCCATGCTGGGATTCCGAAAAAGACGAGGATTCATTTTCGGAGAAGTCCTACGAGGGTTCTGATGCCGATTGCTACTACGAAATAAAAGAACAGCGTGAGGACCGGAAGTGAGACCTGCAGCAGCGTCGACAGGCATCCGAGAAGGCCAGGCAAATGCGAATCGCATCTGAGAAGGAGAGAGAAGAGGAGGTGGACGCCGCGTATGAAAGTTTCAAGACAGCCAAGAAGAAGAACGGTGCGATTACAATTAACGTCGTGGATAAGCCATTCAGTTTATACTCTTTGGGCCATACCAACAAATTCTACTCAGACCTCGATGACAACAGTCCTAAAAATGCCCCGCGGAAAACAATAAAATTCTATCACAAACGTGACGAAGAAGACGACAACGACAGCGCCTCACGACAACTGCAGAAAGAAAATGGTTCAGAAGACAAGCCGGTATACGGCGACGCAAACTTTGGTACTGGTCGATGCAAATTCGGTCCTTTCCGCCTCCCCACACGCGCAAGTCGGAAAGCTGTGGAAATCAAGGACTCGAACGGCACATGCTACTTATCAATGAAGTTCTTTGGAGATGACTATATAAAGATGCGCGTCTCCGCGGGGGTGGGTTTCAACAATAGCGCTACTACTCCTCCCACGCCGCAGTTCTTTGACTTCGGCGGGATCTGGGATGGCTCGGACAGCGCGATAAAAGAGAAGAAGATAGAAGAGGAGAGGATTAAAAATGCTCCGCCGTCGCCTCAAGAGACGTTTTTTGATACAAGTCACCCGATAGGCCAGTTGTATCTTAAGTGGTATTGAAAGAACTAGTGGTGTATTTGATCGTAAAGTGTATTATATTGTATATAATAGTGGTCATTCTCCACCGCGTGAGTGAAAACTATGGCCGCCTAATATCAAGTACGCCTTGCAAATTATACACAGAGTTAACATTTTTATCTCCCCTCTCTACCCAGGTATGCTTGCCAGCAAGCACCTCATATATATCCTGCGGATCTCCAGAACTATAGACTGCAAGTTCAATACTCGTAGCTTATGTGAAGAACTATCGTAAGGTGTAATATCTGTTCCTGTTCGTTCATTACCTTTCAATAGTCCCAACCCAAATATCAACTTCGACCGTATCATATGCTGTTATCGGCACAACTAAACGCTTCTCCAACCTGCTTATTCTTATATTGGTCGATAATCTCGTTGATAACAGCACTGAAAAGGGGGTTCGCTGGTTAGTCTTGCCGTCCAATTGTATTCATTTGAGTGAGTATTGTCAGAATGCAGAAAAACTCACTAAGTCCCGACAACAAGTGTGAAGAGTCCAGCACCGAACATCCCAGCATGCAACACCCACGCAGTCTTCTGTTTCCACGTGCCCCGTCGGTATCCAGGATGCATATGGAACCAGAAGAGCGCCGGGAGACAAACACCCAAGGGAGCGAACCCCAGAGCCCCAATCAGCGCCACGAGGGAGTTGAAGAACGGAACCGCTTCAGCCAGAAGCCACGAAATGAGCCCGAGGCCATACGTGCAGCCGAACCACGCGAACCAGTGGGTCCTGGTGTTTCCTTCCAGATGCACGGTGTTGCGCAGGATTCGCACGAATAGCGTTTTGGCGGCGATGTGGATCGTGATGACTGCGCCGGCTACGAGACCCGGAATTGCGAGCGCGTAGGAGATGATTTTTATGGTCGGGCCGCCGCTGCCTAGGGCGGGACTCGCGATCCATTTACCGCAGTAGGCGAACATGGTTAGGCCCAGGGAGAAGTAGGCGGCATTGATAAAGCCCATACTAACGTAAACACTTCGAAAGTAGTGTTGAGGCTTCTTAAACTCTGAGATGACGGGCAGGAATGCCGGGGTGTTGGCTGAGGAAGAGAAGATCGCGAGTGCGGCAGACCATGCGGCGGCGAATGTGGTGCCCGCAGGAGGGAGCGCTTTGAAGCCCAGGTCGTAGGGGCCGGTCTGGGGAGCGGCAGCTGGACGTTCGCGTTGGGTGACGGCGATGACGACTGTGAGGATGGCGGCGACGATGGAAGCAAATCCTACCCAGGCTATCCAGCTAAGGTCCTTCAGCTTTGGAATACTTGCGGCGGAAGCAATGATGAAGTAGGCAATGGCACCGAAAGCGACAGTGCACATGGCGTGGCTGGAAACTGCATTGAGCGCGATGGTGAATGCCAATTTTGTGACTCCTCCACATACACTGAAAAGTATGTTAGAATGACATGATTATATGGATAGGTATCAAGGGAGTGCTCTTACACCCAAGTAAAAATAAAGGTAAACTCAGCATAGTTCCTTGTTGCAGCTACCCACTTCAGGTTTCCGCCACTCCAGTCACGAGCCACGATACTAGTCCAATCTTGTCAGTAGAGGACTCTGGGACGACAGAAGTACACTTACCTTGCGCCATCAGCGCAACTGTGGATTGAGCGATGTGCCAATTTGTATTGTCCGAAGAGGTATGCTCCATCTGTAATAGTAATTGAATTTAGCAGCGGATCAATGAAACCAGAAAGACACTGGCAGATTGAAACCCACATGTATTGAGCAAACCCCAGAAGAGGATAAAAAGGCAGCCAACCACACCTCCCAAAGTATGCATCGCGGAAGGAATTGAGAGTACGCCGACACCAATTGTCATCTGGATTTGGGTGTTAGGAAGCACGCCCAACGTTCACGACACGCATTGAACTTACTTTCGCAAATATGACAGCAGCTATGTGAGGTAGGGTCAGCAACAGCAGTGAAAAAAATGGATGTTAAAAGACCCACCGTACGGCCAACTCAACGTTCGAAAGTTTGCTCCACCCTCCTCAGAAAAAACATCTTTCTCGGTTTGCGAGTGTGACTGTTGGAGTTCCTTGGTTCCTTCGGGCGTCTTGGACATACTACTTTCCCTGGAGGATTCATTAATATCGACTAGAATCTTCACTCCATCCTCCAATTCAGGCCTTGGCGACGGCCTGTTGGTTTCCCTAGTAGCGGGTATCATCGTGAAGATTCGGCGCTAATTTGGATGTAATGGGTGTTTCCGTGACGAGGGAGGATTGGGGGAGCGTATGAACGTATTGAAAGAGAACGAGAGATATTTTGAACAAAATCAGGACGCAGGATTGACTTTGTGTGTCGAAATCTCTCGGACTCAAACTAGCTGTACTGGCATCTGGGCTCTCGTTTGGGTCCCATGTGATCATTGATGTAAATGATAAACGTCATATGGATATTATCATTGAATACACGACCGGCTGGCTGTCCGCCTCAATGTTGGTGTTATTAAGAACGCTACTAGGGGTCCGGGGGGAGGCTAGTCTGCCTTAGGTCCCGAGTTTCCAAGAGCCTCGCCAACGAATTGACATGCTAACAGAATTAAGAACTCCAGGAAGGCTAGATTGGGGGAATGACGATGTCAGTTAACTTTACTACCGCAACTGAGGTTAAGATGAAGTGTTCGGGCCATGGACTGGATGATTAGGATAATCACTTTTCGAGTCACATGAACAGCCTATTGCTCATTTGGAACATCCATTACATTTCGTTGCTTGGATCATAAAACACAAAAGAGAAGGCATAGTGACATAGAGACTTAACAGTCGAAAACGCGAATGTATGAAGTGAATGAAATACCATGAACCAGTTGAGTGTAAACGTCTGGCAGGTGTCAAAGCGGAGCTATCCGTTGTTTGGATGGAGGCTAAACATCGAGGCTCAGCAAAACACCTGCCTACCCCAACATCTTGTTCAGTCCAAAGACAACACACCGATCAGTACCCAGTAGTCGAGCTTCTTCCAATCCGTCAGCTGAAAACCAGACCCTCAAAAGAATACATCACTCCGGAGTTGATAAAAACACACGTGCACTGCGTAAGCCAACACCCCAACCCCTACTACAATACAAAAAACCCTGAAACCAAGTTCAACACAAAGAAACTTTCGAAAGGTCACTCACTAGTCTCAAACAAGCCGCAGATATTGTCGGTACAAGTGAGCAGAACGGTGTTGATGTCGAAGTTGGGGCTGGAATGCACAAGTAATGGCCGCGAAGTTAGGGCCGATTTCAACTTAGTACGAATAAAAGCGTCAGGATAGCAATAAGTGCCGGTACTATGATTGGCGCTAAGCCTTGAGCATGTAGGTAGGATAGGATACACCTGACGTGCATGTGCTGGGGTGTAGAAAGTGATGATATGCAGAATCCAGCTGGGGGGAAGGCTTGTAAAACTCCACTCAGAGAGCAGTGGCCCACGAACGCCCGGGCAACAATATTTGTTGAACGGACACTGGGATATCCAACTTGGGAGAACTTTGGGCTGGACACAGGTGACGGGAGGCGGCTTAAATGAGGCTTGGAAGTTGTTCGCAGATTTATTGCCGGCGGTCCTTGTCATGATATCTATGTCTTCGATGTTCTAACATCCATCGTCCTCCTGGAACGCCTTTAATACAACTATCGTAACCATCTATTCCTAAAGGGTGCGTTGAAGCACGCCTTAACCTCCATTTTCATACAACGGCCTTCTCCATACCGGTTGCCTCGTCCGCAAGTATAGTAACACCATTCCTCTTCTTCAAGACGTTCTCAATGAATGCTTCACCAGCCTTATACGAACTCCTCACCAAGGGCCCGCTTGCACAATATAAGAAGCCTAGGTCTAGGGCGCGTTGCCGCCATAATTCGAATGTTTCGGGGGTAACGTATTCCTCGACTTTCATGTGTCGCTTCGTAGGTCGCATGTATTGACCGAAAGTCACTACATCGACATCAACTGCTCGGAGATCTATTTCGGGTTAGCAAGTAAATATCGAGTTCTGTGCATTTAACATACCTTTCAATGTCTGCCATAGTTCATCCTCCTGCTCACCCAATCCGAGCATAATACTCGTCTTAGTGATCAATCCAGGAGTTGCCTTCTTCGCCGCATCCAGCACTGTCAAACTCTGCCTATACTTCGCCCTCCTATCCCTCACATACGGCGTCAAGCCCTCGGTCGTCTCCATATTATGTGCATAAACATCCAAGCCACTCTTCGCCACCATATTAACCATTTCCAAATTTCCTTCAAAATCCCCCGTCAACGCCTCCACCAGCATATCGGGTTTCTTCTGCTTGATCTTCATGATGGTCTCCGTCCAATGTCTTGCGCCACCATCGGGCAAATCATCTCTGTCCACAGCCGTCAACACCACATAACCGAGACCCCAGCGCGCCAGTGCCTCGGCGGTATGTTCCGGCTCATGAGCATCCAGCGGTGCGGGAGCTCTGTTCGTCTTGACGCTGCAGAATCTGCATCCTCGCGTACACGTATCGCCCATGAGCATGATGGTCGCCGTCGCAGCGCTCGCATCGCTCCCTCCCCAGCAATCCGAGATATTCGGACACCTTGCTTCTTCACACACGGTATGTAGATTCAGACCGCGCAGGTCCTTCTTGATCTTCTTGTAGTTCGAGTTGTCCGGAATTGGAGTCTTTAACCACGACGGCAACCGCGTAATCTGTTTCTGCTTCCCAGCGGGCCCAACCATTGCAGTGCGTAATTCGAGCGCATCTTCGGGAGTAAGCGCTTCGTCCTTCACGCCAACAAATTCGGTGAAGGATGGGACGGTATTGAGCTTGTCTTTGAAGTAGGTAGGGCGTCTTTTTGTGACTGGCTCGGGAGGTGAAGCTTCGATGGTGGCGAAACTTCGAGAGGATGTTGAGGATGTTGAAGATGCGGAGAGGAAGGAGCGGGATGCTTGCCGTAATGGCGGTGCATTCAAGCACCGGAATCTCGTAGCCACTGCGGCCATCTTGGATGCTATTCTTGGTTCAATGGTGTTGAATGAGGATATAGATATTTACACATCTTGTCTTGCCAAGCTTCAAAGCCGCCGAAAAACGGATGGCCGCTCCAACCCGCGTTTTGCCGCGTCCACGTGACTAGAACTAAAGCCCAAACAATTCGCTGTGATTTCCAAGCACATCTTCTGTCTCTCTTCATTTGCAAGTCTCCAATGTCATCGTGTAAGTATCGCGACCAACAAAATTCTGTTACAGTGTGTAGATAATCTCAAGAAGTCTTTGAATACCCAGTTCTTTGCTTAGACTGCCTCAGACGTGGCTTGAACAACGTCCTGCAGCTGGTCTTTTTGCAGGCCCTAGTATGGGCTCAATGAAGCTGCGAGGTGTCTAGAATATAGGATACGCAATACGTGTTTTGTGATTTTGCAGAACTTCATGTTGTTTACTCCGCGCAGCCTGAAGCCCATTGCAAAAGCTAGATTTTCTATTGCCCAGGCGGTGTTCAAGCGGGTATCAAAGAAATCTTGGTTGGATGGCATCTACAGAATAGGTCTCACGATCAGGAGTCACGTTATGGGCTCCATGTCGAAGCCAAGTGCCATCTTCTCGGGCAATTGCTCACACAAGCTTTTATGCTGTATTGCTCCTTATAAACAATGGGAACATTTGTGTCAAGCTAAAACTCATATTTGGTCCCAGAAAAACATCTAGTATATTCTCATCATCACATCCCACAGTATATATCCATCCAAATTCTACACAAACTGCTAACTCACAATCAAGCCTCAGAAAGGCAAACCTCCCAGCCGTGTAGCAAATTGTTTACATTGATTTTGTTACACACATAACCTGGATGACGATATAAGGGGAACATGTACTCTCTACTCCGTAGTCCAATTCACGCATCAGAGCACTTATTCGGCTTATGCTTGTCCCATCAAACTACACCAGTTATAGATATGATAACATATACAGCTTCTCTAGTTTTGAAGTCCCCTGTCCCGGTCAGTTGTGAATACGCTATGAAGTTGACCAGCCACTTAACTGATATGGACCCTTGGGGTGTGAATAGGTAAGACCAGAACAATTGCGGTGGCCATTGAATCACGGTTTCAAAACCGGAAGCAGAGCATGTGATTTCGTATTTTCTACAAATACACCCCCAGAGGTATTTCAACACCGTCCTTTTTGGAAAACATACAATAAAGCAGAACAGAGCACCCTTTGAAAACAACTCGGTATGGAATTCCCAGCTGCGCGACTCGCTATCGAGCTACTATTCTCCTTTTAGTCTTTTAGACGCGCATGATTCTCCAAGAACTGGGAAATAGCGTTGAGGACGACATTTGAACTGTGGTTGATAGAACTACGAAGAAGAAAAAATGCTACCTCCTAGCGATGCCTAGAGGTAGAGTACACCATTCATCTTGAATGCCAAAGTTGACTTAAGGAAAGAAATTTGAGACAGAATATACTGAGAGTCATTCGTTGGTACCAACATTTAGGGTGTAGAGGGAGGTGCTATAATTACAATTAGTAGGTTATAAAATATAATAGTAACTTGCAGGTAAATATTTATCTAGGTAGGTCTTATAATAGCTGAAATAGGCTCAGTCTACGCCTACGTAATGAGCATTGATGCATGATTTCAATGATGTTCAATTTATTAATTCTTGATTGATTTTGGAATTTGATAATATTCTCGAAAATAACGATTCCCTACTCAGGAAGGAGTGTCGTTTTTCGGGGTAAGGATCTTGAATTGACTGCTGTTCTACAGTGGGAAGTACGCTGTGTATATAGGGCCTTCAGCTTAATAAGCCTATAGGCAACCGCTGTAGCCTGGCAGGCTACAGCGTTACTGCTAGTGTGTATCCACTTCTAGGCTACAACAAGGAGCCATGTGCACCGGTTTCTGTGGTGGAAATCTTGAGACCGCCGCATGGTCGCATCGGCTGCTGCATCTGGAGAGCCGTGCGCGTGTACAGTAGCCCACCCACCCCACTGGACGCCCAATCCGTTACTAAAAGAGCACCCTAGCCGGCCCCCTATAGGGCACTGTTAGAATACGAACGATTGAGTATGCGATGGAATAAGGCTTGAAGCTAGCGTAAGAAGTTAAAGTCATTTATTATGATTGATGTATAGAGAAAAGACAATATAACCGGAAAACCGATGACCAGTTTTATGAGCAGTTATGCTTATATAAGCAGCTAATTACAACAGGCACAGGGATACAACTAGCCTGACCGTTATTGGCAGGTACTTAATAAGATGAGGATTTCTGGCACTGTACTATAACCTCCACCATAATCCAGCCATCTCCTGCTGTTCGTTTTATACCTACTTACCACAGTATCTTCACGACATATTTGTTATTGTTTTTAAGAAGCATCTGCCTGTTGCGGTCCACATTCGTAGTCGAAGATGGCCTTCGCCCAAGGCGATGGTGGTTTACTTCAGATGAATCAGAGCAGCTTCGATTTCAATCTACCATTCGAGCAGCTGTTCTTCTCCATCATACCCTCTGCACTGTTCATAGTATCCTCCGTATGGCGCACTATCTTTCAGGCACGGAAACCCGCTATCGTCAACGCGCCCGTCTTCCAGCTCATTAAATTGGTACAAATTCCTGCCCTCTATCGTTCAATTCAGGTGGGATGTAATGTGATGTTAATTGTTGTTCCACTCCATAGGGTACTATTATGACATATGTCGGAGTCGAGCTCGCACTCCTCATCCTGGTCGCGCTTGGGTCGTTCCATTCAAACGGAATTTTCGTGGCTTCCTCAGTTCTCAAATTTGTGACGGCCATACTGATGATAACGTTAAGCATGGTAGACCATAGTAGAAGCCCAAGACCTTCTGTGCTTCTGAGTAGCTATCTTTTTGTGACCCTTATACTGGATGTCGCCCAAGTGCGAACGCTCTTCTTACTGGCCGGTGGCAAACCCGAGCGCACTTACAGTAGCCTTTTCAGTGCTTCGGTGGCTTTGAAAGTCGCAATGCTGCTGTTAGAAGCTAAGCCGAAATCTAAATGGGTATGTTGGGACGAGAAAAGTCACAGCCCTGAGGAAACAAGTAGCATCTTCTCTCTCGGCGTTTTTTTCTGGCTCAACAAACTGTTTTTAAGAGGCTACAAGAAGATGCTTACGCTGGATGACCTGTATCCACTCGATACCACTTTGAAAAGCAAAGTTCTCCACGAGAAGTTCTCCAAGAATATGGACTACTCGAAATTGAAAGGGGATAAGTTTGGGCTCTTGAAAGTACTGATAAAAACGTTGAAAGCCCCTCTCTTGCTTCCAGTCCCGGCACGTCTGGCGCAACTGGGATTCGCAATTTGTCAACCATTCCTGATCGAAAAGCTACTGGACCATCTCAGAAATCCGGAGGCTTCCGCCAATGTTGGTTATGGTTTGATTGGGGCAAGCATATTGATCTACGGCGGCATAGCCCTCTCCACGGCTCTCTGCATGTAAATTGAACCCCGACACTCTAAAGCACCTAGACACTGATAATTATACGCTGACAAGGTACCCCCATCATCGAATGCGTGCTATGACAAGATCGATACTCGTCACCGAAACATTCATCAAAGCCACCGAGGCTCGCATGGGAGCTGAGGATCACAACGCTGCCCTCACTCTAATGAGCACCGACATCGAGCGAATCAAGTTAGGGTTCAGAATGATACACAACGTATGGGCGGGATTTATTCAGGTTGCTCTGGCCGGATGGATGTTATATATTCGAGTGGATCTTGTATTTCTGGTGCCAATTGGAATCGTTACCGTTTGTTTCGCTCTCTTGGGTATCCTTATCAATTTCACGGGGGATTCGCAAAGGTCCTGGATGGCCGGAGTTCAGAAGCGTGTCGGACTAACAGCCACAGTCATCGCTAGTATGAAGAACTTGAAGATTTCAGGCCTTTCTTCCACCATCGGCGAGTATGTGCAACAGCTCCGCGTGGAAGAGCTTGCATCCGGAGCTCGATTTCGAAAGATACTCCTTCTGGCAGCGGTCTTTGGTTACACTCCAATGTTGATGAGCCCACCGCTGACTCTTGCCTTCACAAATGCGACATTGGATACCACGAAGGTATTCACGAGTCTCTCGTTCCTAAGCCTTTTGACAAACCCATTGTCACAGATCTTCCAGTCCGTGCCTGAGATTGTTTCTGGTCTGGCTTGTGTAGGCCGAATTCAGGCATTCTTGGAGTGTGAAAGTCGCGAAGACTTTCGTCGTTTCTTGGCCGATCAAAAGAACACCTCAGATGATCCCAAAGCGAACATGGAAGTTTCTTCTGGACCGACACTAGACTCGGCCGGTTCTGCTATTATCATTGAAAGCGGCAGCTTTGGGTACGAGGCAGACAAGATGGCATTAAACGACATCAACATCCGAATCACGAAGTCTGAGCTTACTATGGTTGTAGGACCAGTTGGGTCAGGGAAGTCTACTCTCTGCAAAGCTTTACTTGGAGAGATACCGTTCAGCGAAGGAAGTGTCTGTCTAAGCAACAATATCCCTCGAGTTGGATTTTGCGATCAAATTGCTTTTCTCTGGAACGGAACGATCAAGGAAAACATTATAGGATTCTCTCCTCTCGACGAGAACAGATACATCGAGGTCATAAAGGCCACATCCTTGGAGTTTGACTTCGCTGTGCTTCCGTTAGGCGACGAGACCAACGTCGGATCCGATGGAACAACATTATCCGGTGGCCAGAAGCAGCGCGTTTCTCTTGCGCGCGCTCTATATCTGCAGTCTGATCTACTTGTGTTAGATGATATCTTCAGCGGCTTGGATGCGGATACCGAACAACAAGTTTTTACGCAAGTCTTTGGGAAAGACGGCCTTCTCAAAAGGAGACGCTGTACCACTGTGCTTTGTACCCATAGCGTCAAGTATCTGCCTAAATCAGATCATGTCATAGCTCTTAAAAACGGCAGTATAGTCGAGCAGGGTAGCTTCGATAACCTTATAGCTGGACAAGGCTACGTACAGGGATTGGGACTGAATGCCTCACTGGGCAGCGATGATATATCGAAGGAAACTACATCGACAGCGGTGGAGACAAGCAAGAAGGAACCGCATCTGGAACTTCCTCAAGCGACAATGCCTATTCCGGCTGTCCATGCAAGAGATACAGATCAATTGCGTCCTGTTGCGGATACGACGGTATATCGACACTACCTCAGAAGTATGGGGTGGATGCTGGCCGCTTGCTGTATATTTTCGGCTGCTCTCTGGGGGTTCTTTACGAATTTCCCAACAGTTTGTAAGTCAACTTCAAGTCACGAAAACAGTCAGCAACTTGATAGACATGACGGAAACTTGGAGGCAATCTCGACTCTACCTGAACGCCAGCTAACATTTTCTTCTCGTAGGGGTCACATTTTGGACTGACGACATCTCCACGGGACATCCTGTCCACTCTAACGCATATTATGCTGGTATCTATGCAGTGTTTCAAATCTGTGCCATGATTTCGCTACTTCTCCTTGGCATCTTACTCTTCGTAGTCTCTATTAAACGAACAGGTGCCAATCTTCACCAGGATATCTTGCGAACATTGATCCGGGCTCCTTTGGACTTCTTTGCTAAGACAGATACTGGTGTGATCACGAACCTCTTCTCACAGGATCTGAACTTGATTGACACAGAACTGCCAGAGGCAGTACTGAACACTCTATTTTGTGTAAGTCCTCAATTGGGAGTCGAGCTTCGTAGAATTGCCACTGATAAGCAACTTTTACAGCTATCACTAGCTATCGGGCAAGCTGCTGTAATGCTTACATCGTCTCCGTACTTGGCTATCAGCTACCCGATTCTTGCCGCCGTACTGTACCTTATAGGAAAGTTCTACCTTCAGACATCCAAACAGCTGAGGCTGCTGGATCTCGAGGCCAAGAGCCCCTTGTAGTAAGTCTATCACTGCTTGTTGAAATACTTCACACCATTTCGTGTGCCGCCGGGAGCCTTGCTGACTTATATCCCTCTAGCACTCATTTTCTTGACACTTTTAGGGGAATTGTCACTCTCAGGGCCTTCGGTAAGTTTTTAAAGAAATTATTCTTAATATCGTGACTCGAATCAGGTTGAGTAAGCTGGAGTTGCAGGCGTTGTGTGGGTACCTTTGAATGGCGTTCACCGCTAACACAAGGAGCAAATAGGTTTTATTTCAGAAGACATTTCAAAGAACGCTGATCTACTAGACACGAGTCAGAGACCTGCATATCTCCTGGTCATGATTCAGGAGTGGTTGAATCTTGCTCTCGACCTGGTGGTCATGGTGATAGCCGCGGTCCTGACAACACTTGCCGTCAGCCTTCACTCTAGCGCTGGCTTCGCGGGCGCTTCCTTAGTCACCCTTATGGGATTTGGAGAGAGCCTGTCAGGCATTGTTATCTACTATACCAGGCTAGAAACTTCCATTGGGGCGGTAGCTAGACTGAAGACCTTCAACGAGACTGTCAAGCCTGAAGACAGAGAGGATGAACAAATCTTCCCTCCTGAGTCATGGCCTCACAGCGGTGCGTTGGAGTTTAAGGGTGTTTCCGCGAGCTACAGGTGAGTCCTAAATATACTACCCTTATCACGCAAGAGAAATGCTGAGATGTTGATCAAGCAGTATGGAAAACAACGACGACCACACATCCAGTCTAGCCCTCCGCGACATTCATCTCAGCATTGCGCCAGGCGAGAAAATTGCTATCTGCGGTCGGACCGGAAGTGGGAAGTCAAGCCTTATCGCCCTGCTTCTCAAACTCCTCGATCCTGTCCCTGACACCGCAGGCAACATAATAATAGACAACATACCACTCCACAGGGTTGACAGATCTACACTGCGTCAACATATCATCGCGGTGCCCCAGGAATCCGTATTCTTACCCGACGGTACCACCTTCAAAACTAACCTGGACCCGTCTGGCGTATCAACTCAAAGGGAATGCCAAGCTGTACTCGAATCTGTTGCACTTTGGAATTTTGTTCAAGAGAGAGGCGGTATAGATGCAGGTATGAGTGTAGGAACGCTCAGCGCTGGGCAACGACAACTTTTGTCGCTTGGAAGAGCAGTACTGAGGCGACGTATCCGGACGGAGAAGCTGGGTGCAGAGGGCCAGAGTCTAGAAGGCGGGATCCTGTTGCTCGACGAGGTGAATTCAAGTGTTGACGTTGACACGGAACGCCTCATAAGCGAGACCATCAGGACCGAGTTCAAGGCTTACACTGTCATTGCCGTAAGCCACCGGCTGGATATGGTCATGGACTTTGATCGAGTTGTTGTGATGGATGAAGGGGAAGTAGTCGAGGTTGGGAATCCACTGGTACTGGCTGATACAGCGGGAACCAAGTTCGCAAATTTGGTGACGGCTGGGAGAAAGTAGTGACGAGAAGTTGTTGATAGAACACGAAATTGAAAGGGCGGCACTTCTTTCACTTCTAACCATGTATTATCCCTTCCAGTATGGTCCAATTCCGATGAGTTGGGCTAATCATCTTCAGCTCGATCGGAGCGGAGGTGATCCGGCTCTATATATCGACACCATTCATGTTATAATTATAGTCGTTAATTGGCTGTACATGTAATTGGGAGTGCGAGCTTACTAGCGAAGAACCGGTCGGCAATAGGTAGCTTTTGTAATAAGCACATTGTCGAGGCCGTCGTCGGTTGAGCTCGAAGAATGTAATTTGTAGTATTATGAGGTTGTCATAAGACATACAACTTTCTAATCTTGCCATGTAATATAAAGAACCTCTTGCTGCTCCTCCTGCTTTAGTATATACCTGTGTCCGAATAGAGCTCTCCCCACTCCATCAGTTTACTGGGGTGCAAAGACTTTATATTCATGTTCTAATGCCAGGCTTGGTCGCCTTCATATTCAAGGTATGCTCAGAAACGCCAAGCTTGCAAATTCCAATCGTCTACAATTACAGTGTATGTTCGTCCTTCTCCCATATGCGCAACGAACCAGAACACCAAGATTTATTCCATCCAATGAACCAACAGAAAGAAACCCTAACTATTCAAACCGCCATAACGCTCTTGCCGCCATCGTCAGTGAGTCTCGATCTCACCCTGATCTTCAGAAACCCCGCGCCCAATCTCTGGAGCGCATCCGCGCCAGTCTTCCCAGCACCTTCATCAACTCCAATAACCGCACTGGGGGAGAACAGCAGCGCTTCACCGACTCGCAGCTTGATGATCTCGCGGAATACTTTCGTCGCTATACTGATCTGCTGTTCGCCACCCTCGGTGTCGTCAGTGCGGAGAAGTAGCTTTGAGGCTGCGCCAGCCAGGTGGCCTTCTAGCGTCTTGAGCCATTCTGGAGAGGTAAAGCGGTGTACGATGGTTACGGATGAGAGGTCGAGCAGAGCGGGGGAGATGGTCGGTTCTTGGGTGGAGATTATTATGCGGGCGCCGAGGTGGCGTTGGAGGCGGATGGTGGCAAGCAGGGTTTCGGTGAGGGTTGAAGCTTCGGAGGAGGCGTTCATGTACTGGATTTCATGTCTTGTTAGTGGGCTTTTCATAGGGTATGTTTTGGAAGGGGGATGGGGCTGGCTGACTTACTTTATGGGCCTCGTCGAGAGCGATGACTCGGCCGACGGATGTGCTTTTCTCGAGAAATATGCTGAGGCAGATGTTAAACAGTGCGCATGCTCCTTCTGGCGTAACACATGGACATGAGAGATCGACAATTGTGAGAGTACCGGCCTGCATATGTTAGTTGTGGTAGTGAGAGTTTAGTTATGGGGTAACATACTTTAGGGGTCCAATCATTACCCGTAGGGGGTCTCAATTTTCCCTTTCCCTTTAAATGCGGGGCGAATGTCTGTTCTTTTGGCATGAAACTCTCCAAAGTATCAAGACGTTGCTGTAAAGGTCTGAGCTGGTCGGGTGACAGATTGGCAGCATCCACGTGTTTCTTGAAAAGGACATAGTCAAATTTGCTACCTGTCTTTTGTTGCTCTTCTCGCAGAACTCGAAGGATCCGGTATATAGTGTGTACATACAAGGGTATGGGGCCGTTACTTGAAGTCACTGCCATCAAGTCAAGCATTCTCTTCGTGTTGAGATCGCTTTGATTGATTCGAAGGGGTTCAATCGTGATGTTTTTGAACTGAGAATACGCCAACTAGGAGATTTGTTAGTAGATGAAGGTATGCTGGGGTGTAGTTTGACTGACCTTTATGGTAGCAATATTGGTTGGGGCACAGAGTACTCGAACCTTGACTCCCTTATTCGATGACAGAAACGCTGCCTCGCAAGGTGAGCCTCCATCATCGGATATGAACGTGTCATAATGGAAAACAAGCCCGGTAAGAGGATGGGGTAGATGATTTGCTACGGCTGGGAACATCGAGTTCTCCAACAAGCAGGACAAAGTATGGCTTTTGCCAGATCCCTGGGAGCCACAGATGAATGTGCTAGACGGACTGGCGATGTTGAAGAAAAGTCGTGGGTCAGCGTTCATGGCATCGACTTCGACATCAGTGGTCTCTTCAAAGCCACGAGCGACCCCAGCCAGCAGACCGTACTGCGCAAATGGGTTCTCGGTTTCGTTCGCCAGACGCCTACTCACGTGTTCAAGGACCGGCATGGTGAAAATCGGCGCCGTGATAGCATCCCCAAGCTCTTGCTTCCCTTCCGTCCTGGTGAGAAGCCCCATATGCTCTTCGAAGGCTTTCTCTTCCTCCATCTCCTTCGTCATCGGGGTCCCGGTAGGCGTTAGTGGGAAGATGTTCGTGGAAGCAGTAGAAGATGGGATATCAGAGAAAAGGAAGGAAGGCTTGTTGTTCGCAATCTGCAGTTCCGATACTTTGTTCTCGATATTTGAGACTTGGTTGAAGGGGAGAAGTGGATTAAAGAGTGAGGGACTGGGGTCTGGAAGTGTAGGCTTTGGCCTGCTTGTCCTCATCTTGAGGGGCATATTTAAACAACTAACAAATCTTTGCTTCTGTTGATAGTAAAGAAAACAAAATGGAATCAAAATGCTTTTGTAGTTTTCCGTGTCCTTCCAGTAAAAGGTTTTTATTCAATTAGATGCTGTCGCCTTTCCATTCTGCCTGCGACTATCCGTCACTAAATCAATCTGAGACAACCAAAACGTAGATCTGCTTTATGACATACAATGCAAATACAAATATGTATGGAATGGAACAGATCACGGGTGTAGTGACTAGGCGTAAGATGCGTGATGTCATCTTGAAGACGTCTTTTTTTTTTTTGAGTTCGTTTGCATCAAATCGGAAATTGTCCACATGAAAAGGCGCTAGTATAGGTACTACCTGTGGTTTCTAGGCTGTGTGATACAGTAGCAATGCTTGTATCTTCAGTATAAATGCTTAAATCGACTATGGTTCTACAGTGAGAAGTACGCTGGATATATAGGCCTTTCAGGTTCTGCATAGCCCCTTATTTTTGTCACTAATATCTAGACTTCCAGGCTGTCGTCACCCACTTCTAGTTTAAACTTTCAGGCTGTCGTCACCACTTAAAGGGGTTCGCTGTTTGCATCAAATCGGAAATGGTTCACATGAAAAGGGGCTAGTCCATAATGGGTACATTACCCCACGTGAACATGACTTTATAACTCTACCCCGTAGACTCTTCCAGTCCTCTATTGTCTACTCAAGTCACTTTCCGGTAGTATTCCAAAAGCGAGTGAAACGATTGAGGTCGAGTTGTGCGGTGGACAAAGACCAGTAGCATCACCAGGTTCCCGTTATTTGCGGGTGAGCTCATCCCGTCTGCGTTTAGCTCAGCACGGGACAATCACGACCCCACCCACTGAATTCGTCAACGACAGTTCACTTCCTGCTTTCACCTACATTCAGCAAACCCTCGAAATTGCACACATCAAGTACATACCATGGTTTTCTATTTCGTAGATGGCAGCTTTTCAAAAAGAAGCATCTTCCGGTTGCGCCGACCTGCAATGAAAGATATGCCTGCTGCCATTTTTAAACTTTTGTTCGTTCTACTGCACCTTTCCACGGCATTTGAAAGCTTTCCTTGGTTGTCTTTGAGGGTTGAAAATCCAAACATGCCATTTAAGATCTATTTGATGCTCAATACAGGTAGGTGAAATGTGGCAAATTATAGGTTAATGTTTTGTGCCAGTTTTCACCGATCTAAGTAAGTCATATTTGCCTTCCTAAACAATTTGAAGGCCATGCCAGAATTCAGTGCGAGCTCTACTATATCGCTGCATAATCTCTTCATTTTGTAAAGGTGATAGGATAACTTGGGTTTAGGGGGAACTGTTGTGATTGGGATGACTATCAACTGCTGCAGTTTGTTTATCAGAAGCTATCTGGTAGAAGGACAGGTGAAGTGTAATTTCTTCCTAATTATCACTAAATTGCAGCTTCCATGGTCTTGGATTGTGCCTGCAGTTGAAAGTCTCATCCAGAAGGAAAGTTTGTCTTGCCTTGAAGTCAACAAAGGTAGGCTCGATAAAGGGACGCACCTTCTAGCATTGCTTCTCTCCAGATGATCAATCGCGCTGCAAATCATTTATAACTTCTACAATGCGTGTTTAAATCAGGTCTCTCAATTCACTTCACTTTTCGTCCGCTTCGCAAGATCTATCTGCATTTCCAAGTCGCTAAAGCTACGATACCTCGCACAAAAATGTTCTCATTCAAAAAATTCAGTGGTGGTAGTTTTGACTACTACTCTAATGAAGACGACGACGACAACAACAACAACAACCATAACAACAACCCTTCGAGACACGAAACCCTCGAATCCCGTGCTACGTTTCGAATTCTTGCACCAAAGAAAAAATGCAGCAAAACCCATAGAAAGGGTTCTATGGGCGTGTTGAACGCATCTTTCTCGGTCTCTGGATCGGGGTCGGGATCCGCTAGCGAGGCTGAAAACATCGAGACTGATACCCCTCGCCAATTCACCACCAAGAGTGAAGCAACAATAATAAAGACCCCTGACGAGAAACAAGAGAACATCCGTCCTGGTGCTTTGAGCCACTTGGATCCTGATCCTACTCCGACTCAAGCACGCTTGGACTTCGACTACGACACCTTTCCCGATCTGGGAACAGGTATTGGTGCAGGTCTTCGCGATAGAGACACGTTGGTCACGGAGGATTCGAAAAACCAAGTCCAAAACACCATCGAAATGGCAATGTCTCACGGCACGAAGGCATTGGAGGCCAGGGAGGACAACTATGGAGCCGATACTTTTGATTCTTTGGACTGGGACCCGGATCTACCATCTGCTCCCCGTTCAGAGTCTCCTGAACCCGTTACCATCAAACCACAACCCGTTACCTATACCACTGTTGGTTCTCTCGTCGATCCCAATGTTAAGCCACAGTTCTCAGCACCCAGACGCATCCAGCGTGAGGGCGCGAATAGAGCCACCTTGATCTCCATGCTTCAAGGACCACGCTTCCAACCCTACTATCAACCTCGCGGGCCTCCGCCTAGCCTTAACCAATCTAATTCTATGGCCTACGCCCAGCACATTGGCAGGAGCCCAAATGCAGCTCAGTCTACTTATGCACCGCTAGCGACGCTCCCATCTCATTCGCAGTCTTCTCGATCAAACGCGCCTAAGGAGCAAATACAAATGACTGAACTGGAGAAGGAAATCTTGCGTACTGTGCAAGGCGGACCGAGTACCCAGACTTTGCCATGTGAATCGTTGAGATCAGAAAGCACATCCACCCTATCATCAGCCACCAGACTTTCTGCACATGCTGCACCATTCAATTCCAGGGAGAATAGCCGAAGAAACACGTTGGACCTGTTCCGGGAACTTCAGAAACAACAAGAGCTGCCGAAAATTCCCAGTCAAGACAGTGCTGTCAAAAGGCATCCGCTATGTAAGTTCTCTTTATACTTGAATTGCACAAACACTAATCAAGAAGCAGATCGTAGCACCTCTTCCAGTCCACGATTCGGCGGTAGTCCAAAGAAACCAGCCGACCCTAGAGTTGAACAACGGAACATGCGTGGCGAATTGAACTTGTCATACCAATTCCCCGAACCTCTCAACGCATCCTCAACGAGCCAAATAAACCCCTTGTTTGGTGCTTACGGCAGTTCCACGTCTCAATCAGCCACTGGTCTCATGGTTCGTCCCGGTTACCCACAGCCACTCACCGCAGGTCCTCCAGGTCAACGACAACAGAATAGCATCGCCAATAGGCCAGGAGCGCAACAAATGGAGATCAACTGGGCCCCTACTCAATCCAACTCCGCCTATGACGCATTCAATGCGCAGAAGCAATCGCCATGGGCCAACAATTACATTGCTTATGGAACCCAGAACATCTATCTCAATCGTCAAGCATCTCTACCTCCAGGACAAGTCGTACAGAATCCGCAAGGACCTACACACAATCCTGTGGCCCCGACGAAGGTCATTGATACGCTTCCTCCAGATGCAGTCGTCCAGTACTTCCCGCAAGGTATCCCCAGTAACATGAATGGAACCTACACGCCACTGTCTTATAATACCCAGAAGCATATTGACAACCTGAGTGGCACACCAGCTGAGAAAGAGCAAAAGAAGAAAGATCATATTGACGACTTTTTCTATAATGGTCAACGACGATTTGCGACCATGACAAGCGACGACTACATTACTGAACTCGAAGACTTGCACCACAAACCTCGCCCTGTATATGGATCCAACGCCTCGCCAAACACAGACGTGGGTCCCGGCCCTGTTCATAACAAGCCTTACACGGTCAAAGAAATTGAGAGGATGCCTATCGCCAAAGCTATGGTTCCCATCATGAACGCTGCTTTTGGCACTATGCTCTCCTACGCCACGGAAGGTCTGAGTTCTCGCAAGGCACTCAGTGGATGGGTCACTGCGGATCCCGACCAGATTGATGATACGCCGGAAGGCAATCAAAGTCTGTTTGGAGAGGACTGGGGCGCTCCACCTCAGTTGCGAAGAAGGGGTGTTTTTCGAGGAACTGAAACTTCTTCTCGGTCTTCCAGTAGCAATCCTGGTGTTTTCTTGACGGGCGTCGGCCTTTGAGTGGGCGTTTCGATGGTTGTTTATAACTTCCTCATTTGCGGTATACCTTAAAGGCTTGCAATAAGCTTTTGCTGTCACTTGCGCGTGTCCATGAATGAGTTGTTGCACTTTTGTTTCTGGCTGAGCTTCGCGTGGAGTTCGAGTATTAAGATGACCTGCTTTATGGTCGTTATGCTTGCTAGTCTGTTTTCCTTTCGGGCACTAGGGGTAGCAAGCATACTCGTAGTCTATAATAAAAAATAAATTGAATCATATGTATCAGTTCAGCTTTCACCTTGTGCGGCAAATATTCGGTTCTGGTTGTGGTTTCAGGGAAAAGTCCTGAAGGCAAGGTATTGATTTATATTCAGATTTACATTTAGGATTTTTTTGGTTGTGGTGAGAAAATTGAGAGATGGTATAACGAGATGTAGCGATTAAGTAGTATATTAACAAAGTCTTTTTGAGGGACATCTAAGCTTTGACCCAACTCAACCTCCCTCAAGCCTCCTGTCTAGAAAACATATCTTTCAGTGCCTCCACCATATCCTCCGCCAACTGTTTACCAATATCCAACGCCCTACAGAACATTCAATCTCGTCAGCCTATCTCTCTTCGCCTCACTTCGCCTTGCCGACCTCAAACCCCGAAAGGAAGAAAGGGACACAGGGATAATGACAGCAAAATATACAATACATACCCCGCGAGAATCAACGTCGAATGCGTGGCCCCCTTATACTCCTTCACCTCACATGCCACTCCCTCCCCCCTCAACAACGCGCCGTACCTCCGCCCTTCCTCGGCTAGTAAATCGCACTCCCCGATCGCGATGACGGTGCGCGGACACGCGGCTAGTAGGCCTCTGGGCGCGAGGTTCGGGGATGCGGTCCAGGAGGATGCGTGCGTGGGGGTGGGGAGGTAGTGCTTGCGGTACCAGAGCATGCGGGAGGGGGTTAGGAAGGGGGCGTGTAGGTTGGGGTGCCAGGGATCTGATGAAGTGGTGGAGGAAGGGGAAGGGTTGAGGAGGGACATGCCGGCTGTGTTGTCGATTACGGGGAGGATTAGAAGCTGGCCGGTTATTGGGAGCGGTGGGTGAAGAAGGCTGGCTTTCATGGCTAGGATGGTTGCCAGGCCTCCGCCACTGATAGGGGTTAGCATGTATGTCAGTTTATATAACAAAACATAACACAACATAAGATAGTTCCGTTTAATGGTCCTTAACGGACCGGAAAGGAATGCAGAAACAAACACACGAGTTTACTTACGCGCTCAAACCTCCCAACACAATCCTCGGGGTATCAACCCCCAGCTCTTTATTTCCAAACCTCGCTATCCAACTCAAACCATCCTCAACATCGTCTACAGCAGCGGGGTACGGATGTTCAGGAGCATGGCGATAGTTCAGCGACACGACCACGCATTTCACATCCCGACAGACCAGCGTTAGAAACGGATTTTCGCTATCCAATCCTCCTACTACCCATCCACCTACACCGCACACAATATCATCAGAAACCCGTTTTTTTACTCCGTTGCAATCTATCACCACCACAATGATAATCATAATCATCCGTTACGATTTCAATTTTCGCATAGCTTGAGCATGTTCGATAAGAACCAGAACCAGAACCAGAATAAATCAGAATCAAAAAAAAAAATAAACAGACACTCACCGCCATGCAACCAAACCAGCACCGGCCACCCCCCTTTCGGCGCCTCCCCCGACCGGCGTAAACACCCGCATCTCAATCATCCCCCCATTCCCATACCCCTTCTCGCTCTTCACCACCACATCCCTCACACTCCCCACATCGACCTTCGCTGCCCGTCCGACGCTCGACGCCGCTGCTGCGTTGCGACATGCGGGATCCCAGGGCTGGCTTTCGATGGTGGGGAGGTGTTGGAAATGCTGTTCGTGGAACGCGATGTATTGCGCGTCGAGACGGGGGCGCATGGAGGGGTGGATGGGCTGGTGGATTGGGAGGGAGGACATTTTTGGGGGAGGTGGGTCCCGTTTTAGAGAAGGAAAAGGTTTTAGATTAAAAAGGGACGAAGAGATAGATATCTTGCTATGGTAATTAGTATGCCTGGGATTTATTCTCGTCACTTTAAGAGGGAATATATGAGATCTCCAGATCCTTAGATCCTCTTATTTTCTTATCGCGTTCATTGCAATGCTGTTGAAGTCAGGCACGCGCTCTGGATAGGATATTACCGGCTAGCATCCCACTTTCATGACAGCGGCCCCGTGTCTGTCTCTATTATCAGTCAATTGATGATGTTTTATTTAGAGCGTGTGCTAGTAGTTATCTTCTAATGTAAAAGCTGTATTTTATTTGACTTGTTTATATAAGTTTTGTATTCTTAGTTTAATATTCTCTGGTCTCGTTTTTTATGTATATTGTTTAAGTAATAATGATCAGAGGAGTATAGGTTTTGCTATTGCTTCATCTACTTCCTGAAATCCTTCAAAGTCTTGCTTGCTAAGTCCTATTCCACAAGATGGTAGCACCAAAGAAGCTTGATGAGCTAGATGAACACTTTTAACGGGCAGTGGAAATATAGTTACACGAGTAAACTAAACATTCTCTCTTCCGTGAAGACTTTTATAAGTTTGCTTGACGACGTTCACCCTTCTTACAATCAGAGTTTGATAGCGTGAATAGGACTTGATTAGCATGTGCTGATATATTGGGTCGGTTTCCTAAGATAACACAATTCTTCATCAAGACCATCCTGCTAGTAGTTTCGAGATCGCTTCCTCTTCTGATACCACATCCGCGTAATTTGCGTCCAAGTCACGCAACGTCGCGTTTTGAATGGCGGGAGATCGATCACCACTGGCAGATCCAACCACCTAAACGCACCTCATCAGTCATAACTCATTGATTGATATCCATTCCACAGAATCCCAACTTTAAACATACCATCGGTCTAAACCCATGACACACAGCATCCAGCGCCGTCGCCCTAACACATCCACTCGTACTAACCCCACACAGAACCAGCGTATCGACACCAAGCATCTGCAGCTCAGCGCTCAGCGTCGTAGCAAAAAACGCACTCGGATTCTTCTTATACACCACACTATCCTCCGCCGCCGCTTCCAGCCCCGGCAGCCACGCATCCATTCCCCGCGTGTCGCCTTCTTGCCAGATGTTACACCCGGCCGATTTCTTGTACTGCATGCCCCCGTCCAGCATGCTGCCTTTGTTATACTTCACCTGCGCCCATAGCACGGGCGTGTTGCTGGCGCGCGCCGCTGAGAGAAGCCGACGCATGGAATCGGGCGATGCTGCGGCTTCGGGGTTTCCTAGCAGATTGAGGGGGGATGCGTCGGACCAGTATGCGCGACATACATCGATTAGCATTAACGCGGGGCGTGATCCCCAGCCTAGTTTGCTGTTTGAATGGGCGCTTTGATAGCTAGGTGCCATTGGGGGGTACTCGAGATCGGCCATGGTGGTGGACAATATTTTGATTCAAGAGTAGGTTAAGATAATTGATTGAAAGACGGCAGTATTACAATATCTAAAGGTCGTTCGGATGGAGAAAATACTTGGCCACGTGGGTTTACTTGAATAGCTCTTGTGAGCTTCAGATTTCACTACCGGCAATATGCACCTCTATTCTTAGTAGGCCCACTTAGGTTCCGATAGGCTGTATATTGCCGGCGTTTTGGTCATGAGGAGATATATCACGAAAAGGGTTCAGAGCAAAATAACGTTGCACTTGGCAGCAAGTCTTTAGATTCTTAGCCCGCCAGTATATTAATTCTACCCCTTAGATTTAATAGCAGGAAACTCGTTTTCACTAGATTGATAATTCTATATCGACCATCCGGAACTTAGACTATCTAACGCTTCTTCCTCTGCAACGACATCGCCATACTTTGCATTGATATCGAAAAGGTTGGAGAAATGGGCCTCCCTCGTTTTATCAGCACACGCTGCTGATACAACCTACGTGAAAACCATGTCAGAAAAACCATGAGCTTGGATAAGAAAAGGGGAAAGAACATACTATAGCTCTCAAACCACTTTGCATGCAGTCTAAAGCAGTGGCTCTCACACTTCCACTTGTGCAGGCTCCGCCGATGAGCAAAGTATCAACCCCAAGAATATGCAGTTGCGTGAGGAGATTCGTACCAAAGAATGCACTCGGACATTTCTTATGGATGATAATGCCATCCTCACCTGGCTCCAGGCCGCCCAGAAACTTCAGACCCCGCGCATCACCATCGCCCAGCAACAGGAATTCATCCAACGCGGGATTCTTCTTGGCGAGCCATCCTGCATCTCTCATTCTGGGATGGATGTATTTGGTTTGTGTCCATATTATAGGACATTTCCCAGCATGTGCTGCAGAGAGTAGGCGCTTCATTGATGCTGGTGCTTCTGCTGCTTTCTGGTATCCACGGAGGTCTAGCGGCCCTGGAGTAAAATAGGCATCGCAGACGTCTATGAGAATTAGAGCAGGTCGGCTCCCGAACCCCAGACTATATCCTTTTTTGTTCGCGATGAATTGTGAATACTCGGGGTAATCATCTTCTGTGAGACCCGACATTATTGAAGTAAGTATGAGGCGTAATATGCGAATGGAGAATCGAGATATGGCGAGTAAACAACTTTCTCTCTGTGATGCTAGAACTAGAAGACAAGCATCTTTGTATTTTGCCATATCTGACCGCCCGGGTACTACAAACTACACCGCCCGGCTAACATAGGAACATAAGTTCCACAGCGCAGATAAAGAGCAGAGCTGTAATAACCCCCAAATATCAAAAGTGGGTCGTATCTTCCGAACCGCATATTTTGCCGGCCGCCGGCATTTTATCTGGAACGTCTTCTCCTAATTGATCGCTTTACTATCTTCCCAATCTTGGGCTATGCCCATGTCACACAATGGAAGCGGATACTCCCGTAGGTCTTACTTTTAATTGCATGCCGCGGGGATAGAAATGGCTATTGTGCTCTATGTCCAGACTTTGATCAAATATTCATCAACAGCTTGCTCTTTTCCCTCAATTGTGTATCTTGATAACAATGCATCTATCAGAAAGCCAAGCTATTGGGCCCGTGACTACGGAGAAACCCCCCTCTCCTGCCCCGTCCATCGAAAAGCCGGGAATTGAAGTTGAAGCAATTTCAATCGATGCCAAGACCGAAGCATCAACATTCGGTGCATCCGCAGCGGGATCGTTCTACACCACCCCCCGACCCAAGGACCCATACAGCTATCAAACAGGTTTTGGTAATAGATTCTCTTCGGAAGCAATGTAAGTTCAACCACCTGATCTTGACTCCTATACTATTTACGAACCGTTTTTGAAGACCGGGAGCATTACCGCCGGGAGGACAAAATGTGCCCCAAAAATGCCCATTTGATCTCTACTCCGAACAAGTATACAACCATCTCAAGCTTGTAGAATATTCTCAGCTAATGTGTGTTACAGCTAAATGGGACGTCTTTTATTTCGTCTCGCCAGACTCTGCAAAATGTGTAAGATATTCCTCCAGAGTAGATGGCAATTCTAAACCAAAATGTAGTTGGATGTACCGAATCCGACCAACAGTTGCCCACTATCCTCTTGAACCCATGGAAGCCACCCCAGATGTAGGTCTTTGCTCTGTAGTATTGGCTGTCTGCGCTCATCTGAAGTATAGTTGGAAGCATGCTTCTCGCCACAGAACCCTAATGTTCAATACACTTCCTTAGCGTACTGTTGGGGGCCACTTCCTATGCCAAGCGAGGTCGAGAGAGTCTCATTCATCGAGGGAATTAAGACAATGGGAGGCCATGGAGACCCAACTACTAAAGAGGGCCTTGCAGTTCACATGTATGCTGCAAATGCCTCCATGTCCAAGACCGCCTTTGTAAACAATGACGGTGATTTCCTTATCATTCCTCAGATTGGGCGTCTGGACATTCAAACTGAACTTGGAAGGTACCTATTTCCCCTTCCATCCCTTTGAACAGCTTTCTGACTCTTTTAGAATGGTTGTGGGCGTTGGTGAAGTCTGCGTTATCCAAGCTGGAATGAGGTTTAGTGTTTCTTTGCCAGACGGTCCTGTCCACGGTTGTAAGTGGTCCATCTAATACCAGCAATGACATAATACTCATATATATGTTTGCTAGATATCCACGAGGTATTTGGTAGCCACTTTGAATTACCAGAACTTGGTCCCATCGGGTCCAACGGTATGGCGCACCAGAGAGACTTTGAAATTCCGTCCGCGAGTTTTGACATCGATAGCTCAAAGTGGCGCAGTGAGTGCAATAACCAATGATTCCAATTCTGACAGAAGATCCTAATTATTTCAAATAGTCGTTCATAAGCTCACTGGAAAGCTTTCCTCTTACACCCAGAATCATACGCCATTTGACGTCGTTGCGTGGCACGGAAAGTGAGTTTTGCTCAATCTAAATCTTTTCTTTTTGAGACTGAGCTGCTCCATACTAAGCTTAACCTCAGCTACGCACCGTACAAGTACGATCTCTCTAAATTTGTCTCCATTGCGTGCGGTATGAAAGAACAGCTCGATCCCACCGTCTACACTGTATTGACGGCACGTTCAAAAATCCCCGGCGTATCTCTGTCCGAATTTGCAGTCTTTACACCGAAATGGTTAAATACGCAGAATACATTCAGACCCCCAGTAAGTAACTCCAAACCTCTTCATACCTTTCTCCGTCTCCTTCTTCTCCTCCTTCTATATTTCTCCGGATTTCATCGGCATGTGCATATATATACGCCATAGCTCGCTAACGAATGCTTTATTTTTCAACAGTATTATCATCGGAACATGGCTACGGAAATCGGGGGCATGATATACGGCAAGTATGCTGGGAGCGTAAAGGAGATGGGACCCGGAGGCCTGGCGTGCGAAAATAGTTATATGGCACATGGCGAGTCATACGAAGCCTTCAAGAATGCTACAACGGCCACTCTTGAGCCGGTCCTGGCTGGTGAAGGGTCCTTGGGTAAATTTGCCCCCCCCCCCCACCTCCTCCTTACTTTTCTTTCAAACCGAAAATTTGAGAAGCATGCCACTGACGGCGTTTTCTAGGATTCATGTTACATCTCAGCTCCCATTTTTCCATTACCAAATTCGCAACAGATAGACATCCGGATATTAAAGGTATGTGCCAAACTTATGCGACGAGTGCATAGGTGGTGATGTACTGACGGGTATCTACGCAGGACAAAAGCCACTGTTCTGGGATAATGTTCAGGGCCATTTTATGGATCATCTGGATGAGATAAACGAGTTATTGGTAGCTTTGGGCCGGCCTAAGTTAGGGGGAGGTGCTCCGGTGATATAATTGACTACTATCTTACTTAGGACTTTTAGCATAAACAGCAGATCGTTGAATTGTTTCCTAATGCTAGTCAAGAATGAAAGGAAATGTGATATATAGGGTGATACTAAAAGTAGGAATGAGCACTCTTTTGTTTCAATGTACCCCATGTAGCTATTTATCTGCTTAAACCACCTTCTCGAATGACAGTAAAGCCCGTAAAGGTTCTTGGACCTGGGTGAATTCGAAACACTTTTCACTTTTCGCTAACATCCACCTTTCACTATACCTCATATGGAGGGACGACGCCTCTCTAAAAGATTAGATCTGCACCTAAGAATTATTATTAACTTGTCAATTAATCACTCAAATTGATAGCTACATATTAAATATACCAAAATTTAGTATAATTAGTACCAGTACCAGCTAGTTTTAATGAGCCTTTTTTCAAATATTTATTAACGATTTGCTACTAGTTATCACCATATAACAATCTAATTCGCACCAAACCTCCAAACAAAGTCTCCTACGCAACTTCCTTCTATTATAGGCGGCCATTCCTGAATTTACTTATCTCAATCTTTCGTAGAGGATAATAGATAAACGGTGTAAGAACGAGTGCAAACTCAAAACCAAGATCTCCTGTCCTCTTTGCAACAGGACCAATATACCAAGTCTGGTCCATGGATGGGATTACAAGGGCAAAAGGGACAAGAAGAGCTACAATTGCTGGAATACCAGAAGGCAGAAGCTTCCTGTTGTTCCAGATGCTCGCATCGTAGGTCTCGGCATTCCTGCGACGGAAAACGAGCCACTCCGTCAGCTGAATGCCGACAAATCCAGCAGACCAGTACGAAATAACACCAAGGAAGGCCAGAAGAGATGTCTCGAACTGCTTGGCAGCTCCAATTGCAACACCAATCAGGATTCCAGTCGAAGTGATAACGTGGACAATTCTTGGAACGCGGTGGAGGCCGGGAATCAGGATCTGGAAGTTCAAAGAAACTGAGTAGATAGATGGTCCGGTGTTGGCGATGACCGAGAGCGCGAGAATGAGGGTGACGAACTTTCCAAACCCGCCTATCGGATGAAGCATTGCCGCCATAACACCTCCAATTGAGTTTAGTTCGTATGCTGCGTTCCATTCATCGATCACGGGTACCGTGGCTCCAATGGCAGCGCCTAGGGTCATCAAAACTACACTCGGAATAGAGATTCCCATCCAAGCGTAGAGGAACAGACGGAATTTTGGAGCATTTGGAGGCATGTACACAGCGTAGTCTCCCAGTGTACTTCCAAATGGAAGATTGTACCCAGCGATCAGTGAAGCGAAGGTTATCACCGTCGCAGCATCTACTGGCACAGTTGGCACTTGTTGTTTGAGATGTTTTCCGCCCGCTCCCACGCATATTATGATAGCGATGAGTGTGGGGATCCAAGCATAGCGTAGGATCTCGTGCATAATTTTGTAGCCGGTAATCGTCATGATCATGGTTATGAGGCCGATGATAACTATTCCAGCCTAGCGCACGGTAAGTATATTGGGATTAAAGGAGGAGGAAAGAATGTACATTTACTGAAAGACCATTGTTGCTGATTGCCACTAAACACTGGGCACCAACCACAGTTGAAATCATTGTAAATCCCATAATGCTTGCCATGTTCAAGATGATTGGGACTATGTTGAGATAGTATCTTATGATATTAGCGAAGGAATAATAAAGGAACAAGGCTCGCTTACCCAAAAGAGTAACGAGCTTGAATCATTTGTCGCATGCCAGTTCTCGGTGACATAGTTACCATATAGCAAGGTGGAATGGCTGTTAAGAATTGGAAGAAGAAGATGACCAAAAATGAATCCCTTAGACTCATGCCGTAATCGAGAGTGCCGACAATTCCAGTTGTGAGACTATAGTCAAAATAAGCAGGACAAAGGGGAAAATTATAAGGTGCGGGTACTCACGGAAGAAGGCACAACATGGAAGAACCCAACCATGTTGCAAGATTAAGATACCTGGTGTCCGTCCTCTCTTCCAAGGGCACGGGCTGGACACCTCTCAACTCAACGCCATAGTTGGCCAGCTTTTGCCAGAGTGAGAGTTGCCCAAATATTTCACTAGACTCTCCTCCAAGAGGAACTTCGTGAACCGACTGTTCTGATACCCCTTTCTCTGTGTCATGTTGGGTAGACTCTGGCGATTTTTCGCTCGTAGAGCTGCGGTCGTTCGACATTCTCTTTTGCGCTGGCCAAGGAAGGGTTTGAGCTTGATTGGGGATTTAATGGACTAGAATTATTGGGAGGTTTGCCCCTATAATGTAAACAAACGAGAAGGGGCTGGTTAGTGTCCCATTATCCATATCAGCGCGCGCAGACCGTTCCAATTTCAGTATAGATAGATACTACACGACATCTGAGATAAGTTATCTGCCACTTATCTATCAATTCCGGATTGTTTACGACTCCTCACAAGGATAAGAAGAATGTCAATGCACGGCAGTAAAAGTAAGTGACTAGCCGTGATAGGGAATTTACCAAAAGTGGGCACTGCCGCTGCGATTAGCGGCCAGAACTGAGATACCCTCACTCATATCAACTTGGCATTGGCACCCTAGAGGAGAACAACACCAAGTTCATCGCTCCCGCACCCTACTTTCATGATGTATATTCCAATCATATCCCCTTACGCTACTTTGCTTTCTGCTGCTGGACTTGTCATTGTACTCGCCTTTTTTAAATTTCGTAACCGAAGAACTCTCCCATATCCACCTGGGCCACCAGGAGAGTTTCTGATTGGCCATCTCCGAGTTATACCATTTGAAGACTCCCCTACAGCTTACTTGAACTGGGGTCGAGAATATAGTAAGTTATACACGTCTTTCCATGTATCATATGCTGAAAATTCTCCAGAAAGCGATGTTCTCTACTTCAACACACTGAGACAGCCTATCATTGTTCTAAATAGTGTGAAAGCATGCGTCGATCTGCTGGACAGGAGAGGAGCAAATTACGCTGACCGCCCACGGTTTGTGTTGCTTGAGTTGTACGTTTTCTTGATCACTCTTCCCCGCTTTCGAGTTACACAAACGCAGCTTCTGGAGGCAATTGAGAAAATACATGGGCACAAAATTGACATTTGCACAGATTAGGATGGGGCATGACCTTGACCTGGCTGCGTTGGAGCCCTAAAATGCAACAGCATCGCAAAATGCTCCAAAGCCCGTTTACCAAAAGCAAGGTTTCTCAGTATCAGAGCTTGCAGATGAAAGAGACCCACCGCTTAGTCAAAGGGATGATGAAAAGCCCGCTGGAATGGGAGCTTGAGCTGAGACGGTTCGCAATTGCTGTAGTTGCGAACGTCGGTTACGGTGTAGATATTAATACTGTTGACCATCAATGGGTTGACCTGTCCGATGCCGCAGGCTACGCAACCTCACATGCTGGAGCTCCTGGTGGGACAATCGTCGACCGATTCCCTCCGGGTGAGTCTATTAACATTTTTTCTTTTGAAACCTGACTGACTCTAAAATAGTGAGATATCTCCCGGACTGGTTACCGGGACTTCGGGCCTTGAAGTATGCACACGATAACAAATCCGCCATTGTAAACATGCATGAAATTCCGTACCAGGGTGCCTTGAGAGAAATGGTAAGCTCTATGTACATTGGAGCTAAAAATCCATAGCTAATCTATTTTTAGGAAGAGGGAGTCACCAACCCATCCTTTATTCATAACTTGTTGGAGAAGTACAGGAGCAATGAGAAGGAAGGTTTACCTAACGATTTCACCCTGGCTGATATCAAAGGTATTCACTCCATCTAAGAACATATTTCTGCATGCTCCTTTCTATTTTCCTGTTACTGATGTTTTGATTTTACAGGTTCCGCCGCTGCCATTATTATTGCTGGCTCTGACACAGTAAGAAGTCTCTACAAAGGCCCGAGCTGATTGACTAGCTAATAACGCTGATCCAGACCATGACTACACTTGTTGTGTTTATTTTGATGATGATGTGCAATCCAGAGGTACAAAAGAAAGCGCAGGTCGAAATCGATGCTGTCATTGGATCAGATCGCCTGCCAGAATTTGAGGATATTGACGGCCTTACATATCTCAACTACATTAGACTCGAAGTTCTTCGGTAAGTTGGACTTCCAAACTGCTTAGTAAATATCGTCTAATTTATCCTAGGATTGCACCATTGTCACCACTTGGAATACCTCATCGAAACTTGAAAGACGACGAGTATAAGGGAATGTTAATTCCGAAGGGTTCAATTATTTATCAGAATGTGTTCGCTATGCACCGTGATCCCGATGTTTATTCAAATCCATACGACTTTAACCCTGACAGGTATATCCCGAAATCAGAAGGTGGGCTTGGGGAGGCGTTCCCGGTTGGCAACTTTGGCTTTGGTCGCCGGTATGTACTCTTCAAGATATACTGCTTCACCTGAGTGTGTAGATGCAGTCGTTGACGAGACCTGGATATTAGGGTGTGTCCGGGACAGTACCTGGCGAACAACACAGTCTCCATGGTTATGGCTACAATGATATCCACACTCAATATCGATTGGCCAGTTGGACCATCGGGAAAGCCGACTCCGTTTGAACCAGGGTGGTCAAAGATAGGTCAATAGTGAGTCGAAAATTCATTTTACAACCTCAGCGCTGATTAAAATAGTCATCCATTGGAATTTCAGTGTACAATGGAACCACGGTCAGAGAAGGCGAAAGACTTAGTCTACAAATCTATCTGAGATGAAATTTAATATCAAAACTGAGTTGACAGTTGTACTTGTTTCAAGTGTTAAGAAGTAGCAGACAGTAGATGCCAATGGATACTTCAAACGTTCAAAGAGTTCCAAGAATTCTTCTTGTCGCATTATACCTGTTTACAGATGAGATTACGTATTGACGCATTGCCCACGACGCGTAATACAAGTGATTTTATACTTTTGTTCAGTCAATAATTAATGCTCAGCTACATGCAACGCCCATGCTTATTATCAAGATACCAATCAAGCCTCATCAAAAAAAACTAATATGACAAAATGGTTATTTCCAATATTCGCATCGTGATTCATGTTTGCATTCCCTTAAGTTTAACAAAGAACATTCAGGGGTAATAACGCAAGGATGAGCTTGCCGCGAAGTTGCGGCCGCACCGCACCCCCATTATTGACGAGCCGGTGTTGATAAGAACTGCTACTAGCTCCAGCCTCCCCGCAATCTGATGTGGAGTTGTCATTCCGGCAGGCAAGATATCAAAATTGCCGCCAATCCTGCCGGCAGGATTAGCGCGCACAGTTATCTGTCTGGAACAGCCTCCTCTGCCGGAGACAACCATCCCAAATTTAATACCTAGATGTAACTCACGTACTGAAAAAGCCGGTATGGAGATTGACAACGCTAATAGGGATTGGAGTCGAGATTGGCACTCGAATAATGCTCCGGCTGCCGAGACCCCCTCTGCGACTCCTTTGCAACCTAGGCGGAAGAGAGCCCCAGTTGCCTGTAGGAGGTGGGACTTGTCCGGAGTCCGCGATGGGACTGATACATGCTAAATCATCACGTGGTATAGATGTCGTCGCCTTCGAAGCAAATGTGTTCATGAAAATGCAGAACCTCCGTGTCAGCTTTGCAGAGCAGCGGGGCCAGCCACAGCGACAGCTTGGTAAGAATTGACATGCAATAACGGGGACAATCGCTCATGTTTTTTGTAGCGTATTTGTGAGCCGGAATAAGGGTGATCATGACCGTCAGAGAGAAGGAAATGATCGCGAAGTGAGTCGCACCTTCTATACTGAAAGCTGCATGATCCCTGAATACTGGGAAATAATGAGCAATAATGAGAGCTGACTTGTAATCAGTATCGACAACGCCGACAAGAGGTATCTGACAACAGCACGAATAATACTCCAAGCTGCATTGTAGTATCCACTGGGAGCACACATGTACTTACACCTCCGGCAGTGGAGACAGTGATGAGGTAGAGATAATTCAAGCCTATTATTGCTATCTCAAACTAACATCGAAAGATCCCCTGGAATTAGATCTTCGCTTGCGGAATCTATTTTAGAAACGGATCCCGATCCTTGGAATGTCCTACCACCCTTTGAAGAAGTGGTCGAGGGTTGTAGAACATTTTTCACAACTTGCTTTCAACTTGGTTAGTTGCTCGCTTCAAACGTTCGGACGCAGCGTTGATTCTTCTAGGCTTTCTCCCGAAAGCCATATTCCTAGAACGCCTTGCAGTGGATCGAAAGTCAATTGGTGTGTTTTTCCTGCTAAGCATACTCAGTGTTTCTGCAAGGTTCACCAAATGCCTCATCGATCGATATGGAGATGCAAATAAAGCAATAGACTATTTTATCATGAAAGCTAGCGATCTCCTCCCCTCTGAGATCTACAACCCTAGCTTGGAAAGAACCCAGGCATTCTTCTTGCTAGGTGTCTCTGAATGGACTCAAGGGAATAGGACCCGCAGTGCTGTGAGATATATCCAATACTGTGGTTTAGCATTGGCTGACTGGTTAGATTCACATGGGAATTGCTGTCCGAAGTATGCGACTCTAAACAACTACAGAAATGTGTTACTAATATCTCGGGGGCAGTGGCCGGAATTCAACATCTTCACAGAGAAGAGAGCTATATTCTTCCTAAAGATGCAACAACTACAGAGATCATTAATTCTGAAGTTGCTAGACGTACATTCTGGGTCTTACAGAGCAAGTATTCACCTCCAGACTTCTTAATGACCTATTAACAATTTTAAAGGTCAAGATCATTTGTATTCCGAGCACAACGCGGCAGTCTCTTTTCCTTTGACTGATATCACTGCATTGCTTCCATCCGACGAGACTGACTTTGCATACGGAGCCATACCACAGCAACGAGCCGCACTGCAAGGGACCCAAGCCGCTTTGAAGAACCCAGAACTGTGTTCCCTACAATCGCGCTCGCCATTTGCTACTCTGATCGAGGCTCACAGCCATTGGGGCGAAATAGCACGACGAGCTGGTCGAGCCAGCCGAAGCGAGAGAGAAAGAGCAGACGAGAGAGTCAAACCCTGGGAGAGGGCTAGCGAGTATTCCCAGGTGACGAAAAGACTAAAAGAGTGGGAAGAACATGTCCCAGTACGCCATCGTTGGTCTTTGATCAACCTGCGAGGTCACAAGGCCGAGTTCTTGGACTTGGCGTACCTGTCACAGACAATGGTCGTTAGAATTAACAATATCGTAATTCGCCGGATCTATCTCGAGGATATTCTCGAATCGAGACTTGGCACATCATCTTCAGAGTACGCTGTCCCCGAGTTCTGGACCCAGATGTCGCACGAGTTGTTCACCAATGTTTATAATTTACATGAGCAATTTGACACTTGGTTCACCCTACGTTCAGCAGATGAAGGCATTCCGTCGATCGTTGTATTTGGTGTCTATATATGTGGCTCATTGGCATCATATCTCTGGAAATGGCCTCAATTGTGTCCCCAACTCGCCGAGGGCGCTGAAGGAATCCTCAATCGATCCCTGGAAGTTCTAGCGGCGTTGATGGATCGCTTGCCTCATGTGTCGAAGTGGTTGCATGCCCTGCAAAAGATTGCAGTACCTCTCCAGGCCAGAGGTGCAATGGATGGTCATTTATTGCAGCCCGAAAAGAGCTTCGCTGCGTTGTCGACTCTTACCCAATCTGTCGAAATACGTCAAACTGTGCCCAGGGCGGACCAATCATCAACGCAAACAACACAAGACTCTATCAAGACACACGTGCTGGGTGACAGAACCTCTAGTCAGCTAAACACAGAGTTTGTGACACATCGCCAGACATACAACAGCCACTTGCATTTCACTCCTGGCCCGATTGGAGATGACATGTCGCGGAACGAATATTGTCCTCGATCTGGAGAAGGCGTGGGCGGGATGAGCAGTTTAGATTTCAATTCTGGATATAGCTTTGATGAAGAGCTTATGCGCTTGCTGCAGGAAGGGATGTGAATGGATTTGAAATTGATGATATTTTGAATTCTGAAGTTGGGCTGTAGAATGAAGATAGAACTTTATCTTTTACCTGGAAGAACTCCCACTTCTAAAATACCTTGAATAATTATCTCAGATTATATTGTTCGCTTCCAAAATCATTCCATACCGTAGTACTTCCAAGTAACGACAGCTTGCGTATCACCCGGAACTAAGTCCCAGCAATTATCCTCAAACTCCACCCCATCCACATCTTCAACATAGAGAGTAAAGCTCTTTACGGGAACCTTGGTCTTGACTGTATTGATATCCCCATCAACGCAAATTCTGGCTTGGGCATATTCAAGTAACGATATGGCTGGGGCCAGTTCGTACATCTTGCAACAACGGTTCCTTCATTGCTGTTATCAGATAAACTCCTCAGACATTTCGAGATGATGAGGGGCTCCTCGGTAGACGTCCTTGACTTCGGAAGTTCCAAATCGAACAGCTCCGTCGAAATGTTAGCCGCCAGCTCTCGCGTTTCAACGCGTGTCATCAGATCTCTCCCTGTCGACAATTCAAAAGCTTTCACCGTTAAAGAATACGTGACGGGCTTCAAAGTAATATTAATCGCCAACCCAAGGGCCTGAGTTTCCGTGTCAAGAAAAGCCCTTGTAAATTCAAACTGCGGCTTCTTTATTTCTTCTCGCTCGATCCCTAGAGATATTGGTGCGATGTCGCGCTTCACAGTGAAGTATGCCATTTTGGGGCGATTGTAATAGTCAACAAGGGCTTTCGAGGTAACTTGCCAAGTGGGGCTGAACTTGTGCTAGTTAGCAAACAATCAAGCCAATGCCTGGAGGGAAGCCGCGAACCTGCCATATCAGAGCTTCTCCACAATATTCTCTACCAAGTCCTTTCCATTCGCGTCTCCAGACACGCATTGCGCATGTCATTGCCTCCGCTTGGTTCAACTGAGATATGTAAATATACTCTTCCAAACCGAAACCGTACTTGAAGTTTTCAAGCAGGTAGGTTGCCAATTTCCGTTCGTGTTGTAATTCTTTGTTGTGGTGATCGACTATACGGGAGTGAGGGTGGCGTTCCGAGGCAGAAGATTCGACGAGGTAGGATTCGATTGTTTTGACATGTGGAAGAGAAGTTATTTTAAATTCGGAAATAAAGGAAGATCCGAGTTTGGGGTATTCTTGCCAAGGACGAGAAGTAAAGACTTTTCTATTATTTGCTAACTAAGTTTAACAGTATTATGCTTGCTTCAATCGAATGACTAGGTGTTGAGTATTAGCACATGTTATTCAAAGATTATGCTGTTCACTGTGATTAAAGGGCCTCACTTCTTATCAAAACTCCTAACTTTGCAACTCATATGCATGGTCTCCTGGGAGCTCTTTTCGTGGGTGTTCCGTTTGCTGCTTAGACATCTGCTGAGCACCTGGAACCGCTGAACCCTGTACCTCCTGTGGTCCAAATCCGCCATCTCTCTTATCTCCATGATACGTAACAACAGGAGGGGGCTTTCTAGGGGACCGAATGTTGAATGACATGCCTGTTTCTCGCCGGTTTTTCTTGACTCTTCGGACAATAAACCAAACGCCTGTACCAATTAATACCATACCGCATAAAGCACCGACAGCAGTCCCAGCAATAGCTCCGGGGGATATGTGTGAACTGGGAGGTGATGTCGATTTAGACGAAGACGAAGCAGTTGCCTCGGGTATTGATGAGTTTACATGCGCCGTGTCTGCTTCAATTGGCTTCCAGGTCGAGTTCCAAGTGTCAACCCAGTCATCTGTTGACGGTACGACGAATCTGTCTGATGCTTGCATTGACGTGGCTACGCCTTCTGGGGCAGATGGCGTGTTAGGGCCTGGTGCTTGCGCCATGAACCACGTCCCTTGGCCGTCGGTTTGCCAGTTTACTCCAATGAAAGCTGCTTGTGCAAACGCCCTTCCTAAATTTGGTACGCTCACTTCAGAGAGTGGGGAGCACGGTAGGTAGGCTGTCGGTTGCGTTACCGCGGGAGGCGTCAGGGTGAGGTTGAGTAGAGAGAATGGGACGTTGATGGTCATTTTCTGGGAAATGCTGGCGTTTAATCTGAATGTAAAACCAAGAAAGGAGGGGCTCGTGACGATAGTAGTATAATTTGGGTTGGTGGTGTTCCAAAGATAGAGGCCTAGAGAGGGCTCGAAATGCACTGGAAGTTCCGCTGCGATTGCATCACACGTGCTTCGTGGGAGATAGATATATGGGGGATTGTAGTCGACATGGACTTGAAGCGCGGGTCCAATGGAGGCATTTCCTTGTGCCAGAAGGCCCGCCTTGGACGTGAAGTCAAATGGCGAGTTGCCTACAGCGACACCAATACTGATATCCAAGAGGTCGATCGGGAAGAAATTGAGGCCATAACTTTGCGCTGTAACAAGTCCAAGAACTCGTGATTGCTCATAGCCTCCGAAGTATAAAGAAGGTGGGATCCCCATTGCGACAGATCCGACATGCAAGCCGTAAGAGTTTGAAGGGGTAATTCCGGCGTCGAACAAGAAACTCGGAACTAAAGTCCCATTTGCTCTTGGTGCTCCATCGTTCGGCCATGACTGATTGATGTCCGTGGCGCCCAAGGCTAAATTACCAATCTGAAGACCATATTTCGATCCGCCAGGAAATTCGTTGAAACCAGTAGTCCAGACCACCATATCAAAAGACGGGATATGGACATCAGGTGCTCCTTCGATGTTTGCCACTGGTGACATCGTATCAAAAACATAAGTGTAATTGATTCCGCGGGTCATAAAATTGGTACCATTCGTGCCTATTGGAGGCCCCGTTTGGGTGAACGCGGTGGAAGATTCATCTGAGTTATACAGCCCAGCAGTCTGAGCATCACAGAAAGTGCTACACAAATCAGCTCCAAAAACGACAGATTGAAAAGAGCCTCCGGGGAGTAAGTCGATGATCTGAGGCGGAGTTCCCAGCTGAGTTCTCACTGCCCACCACGGTCCTTCAACACCGTATGATTTTGGTGCCCAGGTTACAGATCGTGGAATTGGGCCAGCAGGAGCAGCGGCATATGCGATCTTGAGGAGAGAGACAGCAGAAAACAATAACAAGAAAGATGCCATGACTGCAGTCACAAACACTGCGTCGTAAAGTAGTCCAGTTACCCCAAGAGGGTTTACAGGAACAGGAAAAACGATGGATCGAAGGTAGGGAGAGACCTCACCTCCATTTTGCAGACCCAGAAGTCTGCCAGCGACGCCCTGACTCGGCACCTTGATTCTTGCTTTGTTGGACTCAATCTCTAACCGCAAAACCAACAGAAATGGCTATAACTGGAATAGTCTCGACTTAGAGTACTAGGAAGAGAGATAGCTACGCCGCCGCACTGCTTGAGTCGGCACGCACTTGACAATTATAGGTCTTGACAAATGATGTTACATTATCAAACCCTTTGCAGCTATGAAACGAAAAACTAACATTTAGATTCGGAAATATACCTATACGAGTACATCACATGTTATACGGGGTTCGTTTCTTGTGGTGTTAATTGCAGAGCACTAACATATAAGTTATAAGGCTACCTTATAGAGTACGAAAATAGGTGCGGTAATAAAAAGGTCGGGGAGACCATAACCCCAAGAAATGCCAACGAAATAAGCCGATTTAACAGATGACTGTAAAATAGGGGTGGATATCGTTGGCGTCTCAAGGTTGCATCCTGTTCGCTGCTTCGCCGCCAACACGGGATGCGAACAGGGATTACAGTAACCACTTCGCCCCGGCCCGGCGCGACGGTTTGCGTCTAGAGTTAGATGTGATTCTACTTCGTATTCTCCGTCCGATGCTGTTCATTTCTCTTTAGACCTATAAGACGAATAAAGCATTGCACAGATCCTCAAGGCTTTAATATGACCGCTCTTTCGCGCCTCTCGAATACTCACTCAGTCTTGCCTGCAACGCGCAGAGTGGAGTGTTCAAAAGCATTCTCTCGCTCGGTTTATCCGTAGTTCCAGCATGTTCGGGTCGCGCCCACTCCGTATCTGGGGCTCTGTGCTCTGCTACTTTATTATCGCCCTTTTTATCGTCGGTTATTTCCGGCCGTACGAGTATTCCACCAGCGGCGACACTTCGCCATTGCATGGCATTTTTGGTGAAACTCCCAAAGAATCACAGCAACAGTCACCAAAGACACCCGAATCGACGCTCGCAGTAGCATACCCTATCGATTACCTGCCCTCCCCGAAAGACGAAGAAGAATGCGAGCGTTTATATAGCCACCGCTACCTAGATTACCCCGCCACACATCATATACCATACTGCGAAGATGGCTCGCAATCGTCACTCGAGTGCTTTCGCACCCATAGGAATGAGTCTCTGTGCCTCGCAAAGCGATTGCTCATAGACCAGACACGCACCGAGCCCAACCACCATACGGCAATGCAATGCCATTTGCGGAATTTCACCGTGGAGGCCAAAGCCGATACATCCGCGGCAAAGTCATTGCACGGCGTCCTGGATGTTGATAGCATGCCTGTGGGTTTCTTTGACACTGGCGTTCCCGCGCAGATTAAATCTTGGGATTTGGATACATCAGACGAGGTTATAGCCGAGAAATGCGGGCCCGGAAAACCGGACGGAAAGTGGACTTTGCTGGTGAAAAGGGAAAATCACAACAACATCTTCCATAAACTATTGGAATTATGGCAAGCAATAGTCAGTCTAGATATTTTGCAAATGGCAATCGATCCTTCGACGCGGGAGCCATATCTCCACCAGTCTGACTTAGCGAATATGCACGTCGTCTTTACAGATGGTGACGCAGGTCTTGATGATGGCTTGGATGGCTGGTGGGATATGGTTACTGGAAAGAAACCCGTTCTACTGAAATATATGCAGCCGGTATGCCTTGACAAGGTGGTTTTACCACTCGCGGGGTCGTATTCTCCTTTTTGGGCATGGCACTGGGTAGAGAAAGACTGCCACGACACATTTCTCTTGAATGCGTTTCTGAAGCGCATTTACCGCTTTCTAGATATCGAGCCAAAGAAGCACGGTGGTGAAGAGACGACTATAGTGACGATAGTTAATCGCAAAGAGAGAAGAAAGTTGCGGAATATTGATGCTCTTATAGCCAGCGCACAAGCAAGGTGGCCAAAAGTGGTTTTCCAGAAGGTAGACTTCGGATCAATCTCCCTCAAGGAGCAAGTAATCGTTGCCCGCAATACGTCAGTGTTTGTCGGCTTGACTGGAGCCGCCATGACACATATACTATGGCTCCCAGAGGAGTCAAGCGTGGCCGAAATCCAGGCACCTAATAAGAGGTTGCCTGAAGCGCAGCCCTACGCGGGTTTCCGGAATCTGGCAAAGATGAGAAACATGCACTACTTTACAGCACATCCGGAAAGGAGAGAGGAGGATCCAGGTAATGGGAATGAGTGGCAGACTGGCGAGTGGGTTGATATCAAGCCAGAGGTCTTTCAGACGCTTCTTGATGCTGCTATCTATGCCCAGCTTCATAAAGGCTCGAGCCCGGGTGAGGTGTTACCGGTTGCCAAAATACCCGAATGAATTTTTAAAAATTGTTTTGTTTCATGGATTTTACTCATTCGTGAAGTATAGCTAATAAGTTTGATAGACTAATCCAGTGGTTCTTGGTCGCAGTAGTCATGCTTGCAGTTTTCTTCTCGATGAACAGGCTGAGCAACCTGCGTTCAAGTCTGCCTCTCATATCATATCGCGTGACCACAAATCATCAGCCCATTGTGCACCTACGGGGCTTGCAAACCACCCAGGCGGTAACGTATAAGAAAGAGACAGACAAATCCTAGCTTATCGTAACTTATAAATAAATCCAGATCAGGAAGGTCACATGAATGAGGGGTTTATCGCGTAAGCTGCAGTAACAGCTTACTTACCCTTGTAGCCCTTACACTGTCAACAAACTCAATTTATTTCCAATAGGCCAATCACACACTACCCCGCCCGTTGGATATGCGGTACTATCTGCCGGACCCTAGCGAAGCTTGATTTCACCGCTCACGATATTGGATTGGGTTGACCCCGCATTGGTTGTAATTTCTGTTCCATGCAGAAGTCAGCGATCTGCTCTCTGCAGCTGCTTCGACATGGAAGTATGGAAGATGAGGAAGGAGCCCCGGAAGATCGCCAGGTCCCAACATCAGCACGTCACATCTGCACCTGCAGGCGAATAGCAAATAGCAAATGGAAAAAGTATAAAGTCCTTGATGTTTCTTTTTTTTTTTACCCTTCTCTCCATAGGAACTATTTCCACGTCCAGCGGACACTCCAAACCATGCTTGTTCAATTCCCGTCATTCCTCGCCGTTTCGGTACTGGCTGGTTTTGCCACCCATGTCCTCGGTCTGAATATTCTCCAAGGATCGAAATTCGCTGGGAAACGATCAGTCGAGGAGCGCGATGGCGTTGTCCACACCATTTTTGAACATAATGCGACGGGAGCGACGATAGACTATGTCAAGAATTCCGGCATCTGCGAGACGACGCCTGGTGTAAATCAGTACTCTGGCTACTTCTCAGTCGGCAGTGAGTTTGGTTTTTAATCTTCAACCTTGGAATCAAGAATAATGTCTCAACTCACATTCAGAAAATATGAGCATGTGGTTCTGGTTCTTCGAGGCTCGACACGATGCCGAATCCGCGCCACTTGCCTTGTGGTTGAACGGAGGACCAGGGTGCTCCAGCATGATAGGATTATTCCAGGCACGGCTGAACCAATGCATCTCTCGAGTTCGAAAGCTTACATTTTTAGGAAAACGGTCCTTGCCAATTTTATAACAACGCTACGACTCCTTCGCTGAACCCCTATAGCTGGAACGAGTACGCTAACTTGTTATATGTGGACGAACCAATTGGAACGGGGTTTTCGTATGGTAATGATACCGTCGTTGGGACTGTTTCTGCAGCGCCGTTTGTGTGGAAACTATTGCAAGCTTTCTTTGCACATTTTAGACAATACGAGAGCCGGGACTTTGGTCTCTTTACAGAATCGTACGGAGGACACTATGGGCCTGGTAAGTCAACTTGCACAGATCATGAACTTGTTACTAATACCAACAGAATTCGCTTCCTACTTCGAACAACAGAATGGGGCTATCCATAATAAAAGTTTGCATGCCGAGGAAATCAACCTAGTGGCTCTTGGTATCAACAACGGGTAAGCAGGTGCAAAAGAGTTACAAAACGCTTCCCCGGCTATCTCTTCAGCTACCCCCGCTCAATACGAGCAAACTTCTAATCCAACAAAGAAATACTAAGCCCCCTATAGATGGTACGATGCGATAATCCAAGAACGAGAATTTATATCCTTCAGCGCCAACAACTCATATTACCCCCTAATCAACAGCTCCATCGCCGACGCCTACTTGGCGAACTACACCTCCACCTGTCTCCCCGCTCTCCTGACCTGCAACTCCACCACAGAAGAAACACCGCAGTGCTATAACGCACACGAGACATGCAACGCCGTCGATAACGCTTTCAGCGTCTATTACCCAGATATCGATTACTACGATATCCGCCAGCCGAGCTCTGCTCCCTTTCCACCAGAGACGTATCTCAATTATCTGACTGATCCGGCTGTGATGAAAGCTATTGGAGCGAAGTCGAATTATTCTGAATGTTCTGATGCTGTAGATTTGCCATTCGCGCAGTTTGGTGATGGTAAGCGATTCCATGCCATCCATCCATTCTATTCGGATACTATACTCCATTTCTATCCTACCAAGTCAAAAGCCTTTCTGACCAAATCACAGGTTCACGTTCTTTCTTACCGACCCTATCATCGGTCGTACAATCCAACATCACAGTCTTAATCTGGGCCGGCGACGCGGATGCCGTCTGCGACTGGTTCGGCGGCTTCGCATCCGTAAACGCCGTCGAGTATTCCGGCTCAGCCGAGTTCAGCAGTAAGGCCGTGGCGAACTATACGCTGGGCGGTGTGACGAAGGGGACGTATAAGAGCGTGGGAAATCTTAGCTGGTTGCGGGTCTTTGAGTCAGGGCATATGATACCGTCTTTTCAGCCGGAATTGGCGTTGCAAGTTTTCAAGCAGACGTTGCAGAAGAAGCCTATCTCGGGTACTTAGATGGGGGGTTGGAGTGATATTTCGGGGAGGGGAGGGGGGGGGGGGGATATCAAGAGAATTGTGACATAATGTGAAGATTGAAAATGAAACGTGCATACATTAACAGTGCGACCTGAATTCAGATTACCAACTTCGTCAGATGTAATTTTAAACCATTCGCTTTCACTCTCTACCAGCAAATCCCAGAACAAAAAACAAAAGCAAACCAAAGCAAAGTCCGTCCCCCGTCCGTCTATTGATACTAATACTATTGTAGGGGGCCAACATGACCACCACCATGACCACCATGATTATAAACCTGCGACACGTATGGCTCAGGCTGCTGCTGCTGTTGCTGTTGATAAACTTGCGGCGCATATTCCTGCGAGGAATAGGAATATTGCTGTTGCTGTTGTTGTACTGGCTCGTATTTATGGCTGGGATTTGCAATTGGGGATATCTGGTTCAGTTCTTGGGGGTTGCTACCACTGGTTGCTGCGTTTTCTGTGTCATAGGATGAGGGTGAAGTGGAATGTGAGTGTTTCTGGCGCTGGAGGTGGATTATGAAGATTAGGAGGGTTGAGGCGAAGAGGAGCCTGTGGGGGTGGGGGTTAGTTGGTAAATAGGTGAGAAAGAAGTAGGTGGTATAGTTAAGGAGGAAGAGGGGGGTGGTGGTAGAGATGCAAGCAAGTATATAGTATATAAGTACTTACATTTCAACAGCAGCGAGCACAGCGGCAGCACTCATCAGATTCAAATAGCCAAACGTAGCCACGAACTCGCGTTTCTGCACGTTGTTGAGATGCAGATCTCTCAGGGTCCGGAGCCGCCTATCGCAAACCCCTCCACTGCCATCATTCACACACTCGTTGATCGTCGTGGGTATTACGAATGTCGCCCGAGTTGCTGCTAGTGATGCCATAGCCGAGAGCCAGAAGATAACACCCACGCTGTCCGCACCTATGATGGCCCATTGGTTGTATGCTGTTTTTAGGGCCGCGGTGTGCGTGGTGAGGATGTTGTAGAGGACTATTAGTATTGTTACGAGGCTGGTGAAGATGGCGAAGGCCCAGGACTGGTATTTTGGTTAGCGAGTGTGTGGATGTAGGGAGGGGTTGGGAGGAAGGGGGTTTGGTATTACGTTGAAATGGATCCAGTAACTTCCATAGGCGGATATTCCGAGAATTATTACCGCGAGAAGGATCTGAATGCCGCGCAGTATTATGGTCCATTTCGGGACTACGATTATGTTGGGAGCCATATATACCAGAGAACTGAAGCTGCAAAGAATGTAGGGGCAAAGGGAAGAAACTGAGGCACGTAGTTATGCTTGAACGAGGTAAGAGCGCGAGAGTGGCAGGTGCGCGCATATATGTATTTGCTTCTTGGCATGGTAGTGCCAGCCTAGCATAAAAAGAGAACTCGCATAGCCCATTCTAGCTTTCTTGGCTGGATAGCTAAAGACACGCCATGGACAGAAGTGGTAAAGTACCTTTGTGGAGTCCCTTGGTTTTTGAAAACAGACCAATCAAAGAGGCCTTTCGGGCTTGACCCGATGTGCGGCTGAGACGTGGCATGGCGGAGAGCGGTACTGTCTTGGCAAGGCAGATTAGAGCTTCAGCTTTGCAGGATAATCAAGAATCAAGCTTTGTCCCGAGAAAGTTACCACATAGATTTGAAAGTATAGGTAGTTGACATGAAGTGTAAATTGGTATGGCAAGTTTGCAACGGTGAGGTGATGTAGCTGCTGCTCTGCACTAGCAATAGCATTTGTGAACCAACCTCGACTCATAGGCAAAAGCAAAGTATCAATATTTATCTCGATCATGCATATAAGGCTGCCGCAACCTTGCGCTGAAGATACATTGGGCACGGTGAAGAAATATTGAGCGGGGTCTAAGAATAGAACGTGGGGTAAACATCCCGCGTTGGAACGGCGGGGTGGAGGGAGAAGCAGTATTTTCGAGACGTGCAGGCCTTTGACCTCGGATATTGAATTTTCGAGCTTCTTCTCCTGAGAAAGTCGTAAGTTGTAAAGGCCGACGACATAACGAAAGTGGGGGGAGAAAGAGATGGAGTTGGAAATACACGGGGGCACGTGAGCACATCGAGCTTGCTATTGCATACCATTTCGACATGTTGAGAGCTTTCTCAATGTTTCTCGGCGAACTTGTTTCTTCCACGTCGTTTGAGGAGATGCAGATGAAGAGTCAAGGAGAACCTGGCTCATGGAAAGGAGCGATCAAAATCTCTTCCATCTCTGGCCTTGATGACTCAGCCTTTCATCAGCCACATCAGCCACACCGTTCACCATGGTGAAGTCAACTTCAGTCTCTTTCATTAGGCACCACTTCAAAACACAAACAGAATCTACATAAGACACAGTTTCTCTCTTCTATTTCCAGTCCATATTACGCATCATATATCCACATCAAAAACCCCACACCGCCAAAATAGGCCGCAAACACCGTCCTCGCCACTCCAAAGGCTCTGGCCAAAATATTCGCTACAAACGAGACAAAATGGGTCAAGAAAACTCCCACGAACAGATCGACCCTGACACACCTCCCAAAACACTCTCATCGCGCTCAATCGAAGGCATAGCAAAGTACATCCAAGATGGCCTCCCCAAACGCATCGTTGTGATGACCGGCGCGGGCATCTCCACCTCGGCAGGAATTCCTGATTTCCGATCACCTGACACCGGACTCTACGCCAACCTCGCACGTCTAGATCTCCCATACGCGGAAGCCGTCTTCGATATCTCTTACTTCAGACAAAATCCGGATCCATTCTACGTGCTGGCGAAAGAGCTGTATCCCGGAAAGTTCTTCCCGACCGTCTCGCATGCGTTTGTCGCGTTGTTGGATGAGAAGTCTTTGTTGATGAAGCTGTTTACGCAGAATATTGACTGTTTGGAACGGAGGGCTGGTGTGTCTGGTGACAAGATTATAGAGGCTCATGGGAGCTTTGCTACCCAGAGGTGTATTGAGTGTAAATCGGAGTTTCCTGATGGTTTGATGAAGAAGGCCGTGATGAGCGGCGATGTGCCGCACTGTCTTGTTCCGCAGTGTAATGGGTTGGTGAAGCCGGATATTGTGTTCTTTGGGGAAGCTCTGCCCCATGCATTTCATATGAATACGCATGTGCCTGGGAAAGCTGACTTGGTTATTGTGATGGGTACTAGCTTGACCGTACATCCTTTTGCTAGCTTGCCTCAGTCTGCAAGCGAAGGAGTACCACGTCTTTTGATCAACAAGGAGCAAGTTGGCGACTTCGGCAGCCGACCGGATGACGTCGTGTTTCTGGGAGACTGTGATGAAGGGGTCAGGAAGCTGGCAGATGCATTGGGATGGCGAGATGAGCTTGAGGAATTGTGGTTGGAGGTTGGAGGAAATGTGAAGCAAAAGGAAGCAGAGAGATTGCGGGAGGAAAGAAAGGCGATGTCGAAGGATGAGGTGTTGGAGGCGGAGATTAAGCAGTTGACTCAAGAGATCGATGCTACACTGCAAGTGTCTAGCGATCACCAACAACGAACAAATGATCGTCTTCAGAAGACAGGCTCGCAATCAGCACAATCAATAACTCCAGACGACCCCGAAAAACTCGAACCCTTATCTACTGCTTCCATTGCTGCTGCCCCGGAGCTCACACAGAACGATGACGAATTGAAAGAGCCTCCACCAACCCCAGCAACCAAAGTAACCGCGCCTTTGAGTCCCGAGAGACCAAATACTCAATCTCTAGCGGAAGCTCCAAAGGTCAATCCCAAGGCGATCCTCGATGTCACCCTACCGCAAAACAAGCCAAGCGAAAACAACAAACCATCATCACACATGTGAACGAGATTTGAAAATACTGGGAAGAGAAAAAACAAGAAAAACCATACTGCTACATGTGCAAAGGAAGATAAATGGCTGTATTCTAAGCTTGGTGTTGTGGCGTGGCGTGGTGGGAAGTGATTTGTCTTGGCCGCATGGCGAGTAATAGAAGGAGGCTTGTTTATGGAGGGCGAGTCCTAGGGCTGCTTTTTTGCGGTCGTGGTTCTATTGGCCGCGGGCGAAGAGAATCAAGCTGGACACAATCATTCTATAAAGACGATGTTTCATAACCAGGTCAGCTTTAAAATACTTCACTATTATTCGCCCTTCACGATATACTCTGGTTATTTTAACCCCTAAAATCCACCAAAAAAAAAGGTACAGCACTGACTCCCTCTCTATAATTACAACATGACAAGTACAATCCTCATATCTCCGCCCAACTCCCCTTTTCCCCCTAGGCACTGAAATATACACTCGCACTTCCTATAGCCCCATAACTATAATTAAGATAATGAATCAACACCCATCCCTTCGTCAGCTATTTCATCCGTCTCGCTGCCAAGGACGTCGACGGATTTGGGTACCAAGCTTAGCTAGTTCAACGTAGAATTGTAAGCCCCTGCATTTAGTAGGATGTGCGGGATCTCATTATGATTAACCCTGGCTATAATTCATTTTAACACCCTGAAGTAGTTGGTCCTTTGCTGGTATATGTGCCAATTTTCCTTACGCAGATGCGTTTTGTTGCGTGACAATATTAATTTGACATTCCGGTAAGCATATACTAAGACTTGCCTTTGAAGGCGGCACTAATCGCATCTAGAATCACTGCCTTTTCCGCTGATTGGTCGCCTCATGTTGAATGTGATCCGGAAACCTACATGGCTAGTTTGGCAGTGAAAGGGCTCGAGAGCTGCACCATGCAGGTCCGCAGGTCCAAAGCCCAATTAACATGAATCCTTCCCAGAGGCCAACTCTTGAGTAGCTACCTACGTACATACCCACCGCAAGAAATCCTCAATGGGACAATGTTTCGGTAAAGAAAGGGGCTTTTCCTATATCCTCCTCGCTATTTTCCGTGTTGCGCAATAAGGCTCCAATGCTCAGCACTGTCAGCACCCACAGCACACCAATACCACTGTACAGGACGTCTAGTACACCTCTCCCACATATTTACTGTCGTTCCCAGCAAGTTTACCTCCAACACGCCTCCCCACCACTAAAATACCTTTAAATCTCCCCAAAGAGTCTAGAATAGTGCATGAAATACCACTGAAAGGTTCTTCATCTCTGTATTCCCATCCAGCATCTCATGCAGACCATCCCCGCTCCCTTCACGTATTCCCCCTTCTCCCCTATAAATACGACCTTCCGACCCAAATTCCCAACTTCCTTTCTCCTTTTCTTCCCAAAACTTCCTAGATTCCAGAATTCTGGTGTTCTCGATCTCACTTCACATCCCAATCCCATCTCATCGCACAACAATCGGTTGAAATGACGCCCACGATGTCCCAACTTGACTTTGTCAACTTTAATGAGGAAGGCTCGGTTAAGGAACAGCCTACCGACTCTGGTAAGCGAGATAATTCTTCTGCTCGTCGTTCGTCGCATTGCTTACCTATCTTTGGTTGCATAATTCTTTCACCATAATTATTATTATATTATCATTCCATTTATTGTGATGTACGAGTCAAGGACTTCCATGATAATTAATATAACGCAGGTTATGGAAAATGATTCGGCGAGAGAATTGGGGGCGAGATTTTCGATTGTTGGTGTTGAGCAAGGGTGTTAAAAGTGTGTTGAAAGTCAAAGTGTGTCGGGTGTAGGGATGGGCGATTATATTTGATACAGTTGGATTAAATTAAAATTATCTATAATGCGATTATTGTTGGTATCACAGGCGGTGATACATAGAACGTGATCACTTCTCTACTACGTAGTATAGACTTGATGCTGGTTGATTGATGCTTAGCATTTGGGTGGTGTTACGGATGCGAAGAGGTGATGCCTCTTCGCTGACTAAGCTACGCTAGATCACATGAGCTAGATCACATGACTAGAAAGGTTGGGGAGGATCCTAGGGCGGATCCCAGGGCGGATCGTATATCCCAACAATTATAGGATTATTAATTAATAAAGTGAGGAAGTTTCTAAGAGGCCAATCAGAATGCTTAAATATCTTATACTTTATCTAAAAATCTCTAACCTGCTTATAGTATATATAGAAGTATATTTAAGTTCCTAACATATAAGTAATAAGTACTATATATATCCAATTCTATAAATTTCTATGGAAATTTAGGGATATTATGCATAATATATGCATACTGTACGCATAACAATTATGATTTAATAATTGATATAGGATTAAAAAATAATTAATTTTATTAGATTAATAATTTAATTAATAATTAAAAATCGCCTACCCCTAGTCGGGTGTGTCGAAAATGTCTGAAAGTGTCGAGTGTATTGAGGGTGTCGAAAAGTGTCGAGGGTGTCGCAGTGTGTCACGGGTGTCGCAGTGTGTCAACCAAAATGCACGTGCAGTCCCAGGCTGCATTAGCTCCCGCCGCTAAGTGCACGGACCCCATAGCCGAACACCAAATCCCCTCTCTTCCCTATATAATCGCACCCACTTCGCAACAGCAATCAACATCATCCCTCGCCATCGTCTCGATACTACCAACACTATACAACATCAATGTCCTTATCAACGGCCGATAATTCTTTGCAATTGTGTCTTTAGTCTTCACTCAGCTGCTGGCATTACGATGTCGACGTGTTAGTTTTCCAGGTATTTTCACTTTGATTTTGGGTTGAAGGAGGGAAAAGTTTGCAAGGAATAGTTGCAATTGTTTGTTAATTGTTTTTTTATGTCATGCATGTCTTTGCGATATTTTGCAATTCCTTGGATTGAGATTAAATGAGGAAGTCACGATGAATTGTTGCGCTTCCCTCTTTTGTGAATGTTTGTTTAGACATGAGACTTTGTTTTTTATGCTTTTAATACCATGTCACTTGAACAATCACAATGCTTTGATTCCTGAGAAAGATGTATCTGATACTTCTAAAGGCTAAAAATGCTGATATTCCGAAAAGCTGGCGACTCCGATATTTTTAAAACTGCATCGTAAAGATGAAGGATTAACCATAGCAATTTTCTGTTCACAAATCTCCCCATCGAACCTAGACCTGTCGTCACACGGTCTATCATACCCTTGGGATAACTCTCATGATAACACCAGACTGCTTAGCAAACCATACGCCACAAATTGCCCACTCTTCCTGGGGTGATGCCCACTCGAGTCTGAAGTGTCTCAGGACCTGTGGTACTAACTTTATGATCTCCAGCATGGAAATGTTTTTGCCGATACAAGCTCGAGAGCCATGACCAAACTAATTATCGTCAGCATATTGCATAACTAAACATAGCATGCACAAATTAGCATGTATTTCTTACCGCGAAGGACGACTGCTCCATCAGCCTCAGCTGATCCGGTCTAGCCTCAAGCCAGCGCTCAGGGCGGAACGTATAGGTGTCAAACCCAAACACTTCTTTGCTGTGATGAACAACCCATGCATTGACCCCGACAACTGTTCCTCCTGGGATTAACTCTCCGCATAATGTTGCGCCGCCTTCTGGAACAACTCGCTCGAGTGGCATGCCGACACCTGGGTGCAAGCGCATAGCTTCCTTTATTACGGCTTGTCTAGATAATCGTCAACTCAGCTCACACCTTTCATTCCTTTTCCTTTCTTGCTGGGCACTTACAGATATTCCAACTGCTGTCCCTCGCTGAACTCTACATACTCTGAAAGCTTACCCTCTGCGTCCGCTGCGTCGATTTCTTGCATCAGTTTCTCGTACGTTCGTGGGTTTTTGACTAGGAAATAGAAGATTGCTCGTAAAGCCATCGCAGTTGTATCACTTCCCGCAGAGCTATATTAAGCATTAGTTGGGTTCTCTTTCGACATCAGTTTAGCATAAGGTCGAAGATTGAGCTTACAGATTTGCGGTGAGATGGCCGAATATTGCGTAATCCGACATGTATTCCACGCCCTTCTCTTGCACGTTTCGGAGGTAACTGAGATATTCGCCATGCTGCTGACTCTTTGTAGTGGTGCACGACTCCATCATTTCCAAAATCATCTATCCACCAGTCAATCCCTCATTATCTTGGCGCTCCATCCATTCACTCCTCCAAAACAGCACAAGAAGGTATTCAACACACCTTTTCAGTCTTACCAAACGCATTCAACTTTGCCAGCGCCGGAATACTACTCATGAATCTTTGCAACGTCACATTCCCAAACAACAGCCGATGAAGTTCCGGCAGCTGACCCACCGCCGACGAATACTTAAAGAATCCATCCAGCGCACCAATCGTGCCGCGACTATCCTCTCGGTTCTCCATAAACCCTAGCATCCGATTGAAGCAAATCTTGCCGATGCTATCAAACGTATACCACTGCAACCACTGTCCGAAATCAATCGGTGGGTTGTTATTGCCATTGTCACTGGATTGGTTGTCACTGGATTCGGAACGGGAGAAGGAGTACATGGCGTCGGTGAAGAGTTTCGTGCATTCGTTGATCATCGGCTCAAGTTGGCGGATGTAGGAGAGCGAGTAGGCTTGTGCGATGGGCGCTCGGTAGCGCTTGTGCTGGGTGCGTGAGGGGGTCGTGAAGAGATTGTCGGCGTATATACCTTGGGTTACTACATCGAAGGCGCGGTAGAAGTTCGACTATTCCCATCAATCGGTTCCTTGTCAGTACATCTACATCCACATCCACATCTCATCACCATTCATTTCACTTTCCACATACCTTAACAAACGCACTGTTAACCCCATAAATTGCCGCAATCATCCCTGGATCAGCCACCGAGATCTTGTTCGGTCCCACCCTCACCAGCGGGCCGTACTTATCATGCAGCCCGCGGTACAACATATGGAAATCCCCGCGCGTCGCATGGTATATTAAATATAAGCGCGAGAACCGCGCTGTGGTGGGACCGGGGATGCGGGATAGCGAGGGGCGGAAGGCGACGGCGAGAGTCCAGGTTGTATAAATGAGGAGGGCGAGGAGGGCGAGGAGGGGCCAAAGGGAGAGAATGGTGGCGGATAGGCTTGTGGTGTAGGTTGGGAGGGGGGTTGTTGGGGACATAATGCGTTTAAAGGGAAAGCAAGGGGAAAGGAGTAGGTTGGTGTTAGGTAGGTAAGGGAACTGGCTGGGTGTGTTGGAGAGGGGGGGACGGGGGGGTGTTTGTTAAGTCTTGTGGTTGTGCAAGATTGAATTTACATCTATAGAGATGGATGGAAGGGCAGGTAGGTGGCATTCACATGTCATTTGTCTATCCCATCTGCTGGTATTGTAATGTAGACAGCTCATTCACATTTTCATTACCAATCTACACTTTCAGAAGCTTAGAAAGTAACCTGGTAAAACTGGGACTGCTTCGGAAGGATTCATATAAGAAAACTATGCTTGGGAGTTCGTAGATTTATTGCTATTTATATGGCATAGGTTTTTCTTAGCATAGAGGATTTAAGTAGCTTTGTCTATAAAACGTTGCAAGAGTCAATCTTATGCATTCTTGTGAATCTTTCCGGTCTTGACTTATTTTCTTTTTCTCGCCTCAGGACCGCGGTTCTCATTTGTATATCGGCATCTCATTTCTGCTTTCAAGAATACTAGAGATTGGTAGCAACATAAGGGTACGGACACGCAGAATTGATGTTCTTTTAAGCTGTATAATCACTTTATAAAGGATGTAGAGTCTAGTGTAGATAAGAGTGTTGATATAAGCAGACAGTGCTAATCTGTTTTCCAATAATCCACAGTTATATTATTATTTTGCATCTACGCTCGGGCCCTGCCTCACTTGTCAGAAAACCTTTGATGATTAATAAGCGTTGAGGATATCAATTGCTGAAAGGCGAGCCAGCTCTCTGTCCCACTTATTTCAGTAGGTAAGAAATATAAGCTATATCCTCCCTTTTCACCCCCCACCCCCCACCCGCCCGAGTGAAATGATTTCCTGAACTAATATCTTCGTTGATATATTTGTACATGATCTTGAATATGCCTGCTTTTTATTTAGCGAAACTCAGGGGGAGTGAAATACACTAAATTCATTTTTGGGACGGGTCGGTAGAAATTCGGCTTTGCCGGAGGAAACATCTCAACTTCACGTGCATCAGACAGATATCTCACGTCAAACAATAATCGTAAACCTCAGCATTCACGAACAAATCATCCACGGCTGTATATATAAACTCAAATCCGTTCGCGTCTCGGAAATGGTGCTGGCTGATTTCTCGCATCGCCCGCAGCAATGCGCATAAGCCTCATCCGCCGCATCCGTCGTCTCGCAACCTCCACCATCTCACGTGTCGAACAATACCTCCAAGCCTCCAAACCACCACGGAAACATGCCAAGATAGATGACGAGGAGCAAACCCTTGATCAAGATTGCCTGCTGCTCTCCGACCAACCCTCACCCATAGCCAGGATGGCCAAGCTCCTCTTCCTCACCCTGCTCACCCTCCTCATCCTAGTCCTGATCCTGGCATACACAATCTACAAACCACCACCCCTCCTAATCAACTACCTCCAACAAAAATACCGCCCCGTAATCTTCCACCTCCCGCTCCCCCCATCACACCGCACCATCGCCCTCACCATCGACGACGCGCCCTCAGACCACACGCCCGCCATCCTAGACCTGCTCGCCAAACACCATGCCGCCGCCACATTCTTCATCATCGGCTCCCAGGCACAGGAAAACCCTTCTGTGATCCGTAGCATCCACGAAGCGGGTCACGAGCTCGGGAATCACGCCTGGAACGACGAGCCGTCCATCTCGCTCCCTCTGAGCGAGCTGGAGCGGCAGGTCAAGGAAGTCGAGGCTCTGCTCCCGCCCAATGCTAGTGGGCTGAAATTCTTCCGTCCCGGTTCGGGGTTTTTTAATGGGAAGATGGTAGGCTTGCTTGCGGGCTTGGGGTATAGGGTTGCGTTGGGGAGTGTTTATCCACATGATGCTCAGATTACAAATCCGCGGTGGAATGCGGCGCATGTTTTGAGTATGGTTAGACCGGGTGGTGTGATTATTATGCATGATAGGAGGGGGTATTCTGTGGAGGAGATCAGATTGGTTTTAGAGGGGCTGGAGAGGGGCGGGTGGAAGGTTGTTAGCTTGGGTGAGCTGGTGAGAGTGTCTGAGGAGGTTGAGGGGAAGTAGTGGTTTGATGTGTGTTTGTGCGTTTTGTAGTGGGTTTTGGGAAATGTAGTTGTCTATGGATTGTCGAGTTTTATTTATGTGTTGATCCAAGTGGATCACTTACACTCCCTCGTCATTATAGCTCTCGAGGGCTATAGTGCCAGGTATTCCAATGTATGAAGTCATCAAGCGAAACAGAACGAACATACTAGGGAAGCTTTTTATCTCATAACTCTGAATTGCTAAAAGAGTGATAGGCACATAGCGCCTTTTACAATAAAAGCAGAATGAAATCCAGACCCTCTTCACCAATTCTCCACCCCAATTCTCCGTCAACTCTCTAATAGCTCTCCAACCCCTTTAACTTGTCCTTGTCCTTGTTTTCCTGATCATCAAGAAGTACCATATTGCTCCAAGCACTACCTAAAAACATGGATGCACTTAGTCGACAACGTATTTGGAAGCAGTATCGGCATCAGCGCGCTTATCAACCACATACTTGGAGGCAGTGTCGGCATCAGCCCGCTTATCCACGACATATTTGGAAGCAGTGTCGGCATCAGCGCGCTTATCAACCACATATTTGGAGGCAGTATCGGC